GAGGCATTCAGCCACTTGACAAGCTGATCGCGGGTCATGTTGCCTAGAGAGTCCAAGTCAATTCCATTGCCCTCAAAGTCACCTATCCCTTCATGATCTTTGAAGGTGATTGAGTACCTGTTATCTGAACACAATAGTGTCAACAGCTGCATGACCAGGGGAATAGGCATTGCTGAGGTGGCTGGATTCATTGTCTCAATGCGAACCCCAAAGTAGTGTGTTTTGTGGCTCCTTGCACCATCGTTGGCATCCTCAAAGCTTTCCTCGTCGTCATCCCTCATAGGAGCTCCATTGTCGTCATCCTGGTTGCCATGGGTGTTGGATTCATTTGCGCTCTCATCCGCATCAAGAGCCATGGGATTGGCAGCACCAAGTGAAGCAGTGGCGGCATCTTGCTTGGACTCCTGAATGGTCATGGTGATAATGCCTGGGATCGAGGGAACATCAGTATCAGGAGCTGGTTCCAGTAGACCCAAGGACTTTGCTCTCTGATGAATCTCTCTAGGCAATGGACAGTGGGTTCTCTGTAGCTCGAGAAGGGAGTTCCTAACACAGACAGAGGCAGTGGCATTGGCTGGGTCGTTGGGAACAAGGACTGCTAGTTCTGTTTCAAGATAAGTGAGTATCTTTGCTGGATCTGCCTTCCACTTGCAGAGGAAACACAATGGGTCTTGAGGTCTAGAGATCGATAGCTGTTGACAGAAGCAGCGCTGAGAGCTGTGACTGAATGATCTCGGATCCGGTTGATCTGCTGGCTGAGTGGCATCTAGCGGCTGGGTGGTGATTTGGCTCTTGGGTGGTGCATCGGTGGAGTTGATAGCTGGTGCCTCCAATGACTTCTGTTGATCCTGGTTTTCACTGCTGTCAACAGTGTTGAATAGAGGGGCTAGGTGCTTGACCGGAAGGGAGATATCCTGGTTATCATAGGACCTGTTGCAGGAGTAGCAGTAATGACCAGGTAGGGAATCCTCATGAGTGCCCAGCTGAGTTGTGGTGGCATCAATGCAATGCAGTTCAGTGGCTTCCATGAGACCATGGCATTGTGGACAGTAGAAAGGAGTAGGTGTTGGATCTCCACAAACAGTGGTCTCATCTGGGGATTGAGCGGCTGTCACAACGAATAGGTCCTGCTTCCTTGCCATGTCTTGAAGATGCTGGATGCCTGCCGTGATCTCGTCGTCAGTAGGGTCAGTGGTGGTGCCATGCCTCAATGTGGGTCCATTTGAAGATAGCAGGAGTGTCAATGGTGAAGTGGACCGAGTATCTGTAGCCAAAGGACCATCGAGAGGGATGAATTGTCTGCAGGACTCACAATAATGAGTGGGTTCGATTGTGGTTTGCTTTCCAAGAATCTCCGCCGCGAAGTTACTCAAAGACATCATCTTTGGGGTAATCATTGTATTGCAATCCGGGCATAGTAAAGGAATTGTTCCAGTTTGTTGGACATCATCGGTGTTGTCAGTGGCAGCCATTGTATTGGTTGTGTTGTAGGTGTCTGGGGTTGTGAGATCAATCGGTGTTTGATCGGTCCCTGTACCAGTTGCCATTGTTGGGCTTGTGGTGGGAGTGTGATTGGCGATCGTCGTGGAGTCGTCCGACTTCATTGACGATTTGTCATTCAGATATCGTTGGATTGATTGCTTCAGGCGATACTTGGATTTCGTAGTAGATGCAACACCGTGTTTTCCTGTGATCTGTGTCATTCCATAATCCTTTGGATTATTGCGAGCGGATTCGATAGTGTGTATCAATCCAGTTGTGATGTGAGCAGTGGAAGGATCAGTAGATTTCCATCCGCCTATTAGTGCGTTTGCAGGTGCAGTACTGTTTTGTTGGAGTTTCGATTCTTGATGTAAGTGTGGCCAGGCTGCCTCATCGGAGATATCGAAAGTGGTTGATCGTCGTTGCATTTGCTTGTGTTGTTTGTTGCGTCTCTGCTGTTTCGTCGTAACGCTGGTTGGCTGGGCGCCTGGTTCCCATGATACTGGAGACTGTTGGCTTGACGAAATGACGAGTATCGGGGGCAATGGAAGAGGATCTGGTTGAATAATTTTTTGATGTTTGTTGGATCTGACTGAGGGGCGGCGCTTAGTTGCGATTTCGTGGGGGATGCTGTTAGAGGAGTTTTTGTTCTTCCTAGGTGGTGTCTTCTTTGTGTCGTTGATCTTGGTCTCCGCAATGGAGTCAGAACCGATTGTATCGAGGGTATTAAGGGATTCGTTATCACTGTTGTGTTGGAATTGCAGGAGCCACTGATCGTTGCATTCCACAAGGGCGGAAAATCTATTGGAATGTGTTGGTTGCGTTCTTGATGGTGATGATAGCTTGACACCGTGGAGTTTCGCTTGTTGCATCGGTGTTGTTTTCTTGCTTGGCAGGATAATCGAGAATGCATCATTTGGTCCATTCCAATCAGGTCTAGTGGCATAATCGCTACCAAAAGAAAGATCTCGCTGGCTGTTGGGGCTTGTTTTCGGCATTTTTAAGGTCGATTCAGTTGGATCCAATGGTGGGCTACCTCGAATGGGTGGTCTACAAGAGGTCTTCATGGTCGAGACGGTCTTTTCTGGACTTGAACGGCGTCGAAAGGAGCCAGGAGGCGCCATGGTGGACCTTTCCTGTACCTGGTATGCTCATCCCAGAACTTGCTGATTCTTGTTGCTTTGGCTCTATCTCTTGGATGAGACACAAAGTGTGGATTCTCGGGGAGTAATCTCTTCAAGTCTGCAGCAGAAAAGACGCGAACTCTTTCCTTGGTTTGCTGCTTCCTATCACCATCAAACTCATAGGGGAATCCCAACTCATCCACAAGAAGTAGTTTGTTGTTGCAAAACTCTCTGAGATAGTGTAGGATTGGATGGATCCCCTCCTTCTTGGCTGCTGCTTTGGGCTACTTCTGTTGTCCCCCAAACACACTAAATACCCTTGCACCGTTGCTGGCCATTGTCTCTGTTGCTTTCACTAACCAGCTAGCTATTATACCAAGCTATCTTGCTTTAAAATGGTTTTGCCTCACATTCATTATCTGGCAACTCGAGGACATCTGGCAACTCGACGAGGAATCTGGCAACGCGAGAATCAAATCTAGCGACGCTAGAATCAATCTCGCGAAGATACATTGAGCTCTACAAATATTTAAAGGTTTGGAGAGCGTGTCACGAAACCTTGATATTAAGAAATATCTTAACAGAGGGTGTATTGTAGCGTTCGTCCGTATCGTAGCGTATCGTAGAGCCTGGTACTGAAGGAGCATTCAGTACCAGGCTCTACGATACCCTACGATACACCTTTGTACAGTGTTTTCTATAGTAAACCTCTGTAACCACTCTGATTTCTGCGTGAGGTATCGCAGCTCCCGCTGACTTAGATTGAATCATTCGATTGTTGGGACCATTGCAAAGAAGAGCTACAGAGCTACAGAAGACAATCAATTAATTGGTGAACAGGGCAGGACAAGACAATGCGAGGTAGATTCCTAACGCGACAACTGCTGGGCAAATTCTGGCTGCCTGTGTTACTGCTGGCATGCTCTGGGTTGATGTCTGCTCTGGCAACAAGCCTCTCTGAAGAATGCAGGAGCCAGGGCAACACTGTCCAGTGGAGGACCAGCACTAAGAGTAGGAACAGTATTACTAGTACTGCCAGCAGTGCCCCACAACAGCAGCGAAGCTTGCAGCAAAAGAAAAGTGGCGTATATAGTTGCCACCGTCAATCGTTGGACAGTGCTAAAAGACAGGCTTTGGGTTTTTTGCGAGATCACGTCATGGAGTTTGATAAGGCCAAGTTGAATACGCTGGGATTTGGAGCCCGCAATGGCACTGATGATGACCCTGATGGCTTGGACAAGGGACTTGTTGGAACGACAATTGATCTCGCCTTTCAAGCCAAGCTGAAGCATCCCTGGACAGACGCGCTCCCACAGGAGATTTTTTACGAATATGTCTTGAACTATGCCAACTTGAATGAGGCTAGATCCAATTGGAGACAATTGCTGTGGGATATTCTGGACCCATTGGTAGTACATGAGCAACAACTGCAACTCACAGAATCACAATCTACTACTGCCAGTGACACATTGACGCTCAACGATGTTGTCCGACTGGTCAACCAAAAATTGTGGAGTGCCTTTCCCGGAGACAACACCATCTACTTTCGATCGGGACAAACTCCACTGATATTTGATCCTCTTTCTGTCATTGCGTTTGGATATGCTAGTTGTACTGGATTGGCCATACTCCTGGTCAATGCCTTGAGGACTGTGGGCGTTGCAGCTCGTGTTGTAGGCACTCCCGCATGGAACGGAAAACGAGACAAGGGAAATCACAACTGGGTGGAAGTCTACCATGAGGGAGAATGGACATTTCTCGAGCCATCCGCCAATCAAACACATGTCAATGATCTTGAAACCCAACCTTGCAGTTTCTGGTTTTGCAACCCAGGTCACTTTCCAAGCGCTGGCGACAACACGACAAACGTGTACGCGGCTCGTTTGGTGTTTTCATCCAAGGATAGCTACTGTCCCATGGCGTGGGAATGGGACTGCCGTGACGTACCAGGTGAAGACCGAACAGAGTTCTACCAACGCTCGTGCTCTCAATGCTAAACAAAGGAGCAACAGGGCAATGACTATTGGGGCAGATCGTTCACACGAGAAGAACAGGCGTCTAGTACATGTAATGGTAGTGACATGAATTTGCTACAAAGCTACAGCCATATTGTGTTCACATCATATGCATTTCATCACCAAGTACCTCGCCGCGATTAAATCATCAATCAGGCCCCATCCAAAGCGAATCACTCATGGCAAAGATCATCCCACACCTGTGTGGAGAAGGGAACGACATTGCTGTCCAACAACTTGCAGTAAACATGAAGCCCCGAACTCCCAAGCTGAATCTACCCGTTGCGTCATCACCTACCGTACCGTCAACTGCCAAATGCATTGGTCTTCTTTTGGTCCTTGCAGCTGAGCTGGAATATTCACTTTGTAAGCCTTGTAGCCCGTCGGGGCTCTAGAGAGAGGAATCCAATGAGATGTCTAACTCAATTTCTGTGTAGTTCTAAACACCATCAATGGTTCCCAATGCAAACATTCATGGTCCAAATTGTAATCTTGGGCACAAAAATGTTGGGACAAGCGCATGGACAAGCATTCCACTGCGAAAGGCGCCTTCAATGACAATGTCTTTGGGTTATCCCAAGAAGAAACCTTGCTATCTAAATACGCAACGTACCCATTCAGGCCGCTTGCTTTGCCTCGGCAGAGTCCATATGATCGATCTGGGACTCAAACAAGGTCAAGTAACAAACTTCATGGTTGGGAAGAAAATGTGTTTGATCGTGGAAGAAAACAGTACGACACTGGAGCGATCTCCTGGCCATGGCGTGGCTGCCACGAGGACGGGAGACCCACTATGATTGCACAACCATCAAACAGCATTGCTAATGTAAAAGTACTGAATGCATTAGAGGTCTTTAGCTGTGTAATGGTACTGGGTACCGGTTGCTATTGGCTACACACTGTGTCGGCATGGTGTGGCTTGGACGCCAATGCAACAGGGGAAGAATGTGTGGTTCGCTCCGTGCGTCCTTACTTGTCCATGCCTCTCTTGCGGGGATCATTCTTGTGGTCCTTGTCAACCATCCAACCACCAAGTCCCCATTGCCTATCAAAGTGACCACCACTCGGAGTGTTGCTGAATCCAAACTCAGATTCGGGGCGCTTGGCATCACCTTGATTCAACGAAGGGTCAAGTTCTACCTTGGAGTGGTACCAATGGTTGATGGCAATTCCACGCGGGTTCCAATAAGGGGCCATTTTCTCGGGCTGGACATTGAACGCAGAGTCCACAGCTTTGGAAGTCAGATCGAGATTGACCTTCTCACCACGCTTCAGTTTCTTCTGAATTTCTTCTGGCAACTTCAGGGTAGCATAGAATTGAGTCCAAGCCCAATGGTGGTTGTAGCGTTGATCAATGGGCTTGAACAGCTCTGCAGCGGTCCAGTTCTTGCCTCCGTCAATGGAGACATCAACTCGCTCAATCTTTCGGCCTCCACCAGACCACGAGACACCCTTCAAAGTGATTTCACGGGCGTTCTTGGCTCCAATGGTAGCGTTCTGCGGTGGGTTACAGACAAAGGACGTTACTGGCTGCTCGTGAATAATTGGACCCTGGTCAAGGCGTGCTGGTGGCCACTCCGCAAGGTCTAATTCGGGAGGGATGAATGCAATGTAAGTTGTTCGGTTCTCTAGTCGAAGACAAGACACAGGGCGTGCAAGAGAAGCCTACCTTTCTCAAACGTAATATCTGGAGCGAAATGACGGTATGACTTGCACTGGTAGCTCTTCTTGGACTCTTCGTTGCTCAGGATGATCTTGTGAATCCACTTCACTTGTCGAGCTCCAACGTGCCCTGGGATCAACATTCGTACAGGGTAGCCTGTTCAATGAAATAGGAGGTGGGAGAGGTTGACAAAAGGTAGCAAAGAGCAGAGATTGTGAGGCAAGAAAGGATAGAATCTCCTTGATCAGTGTCGTTTCGTACCATGATCTCTAGGCAAGTCTTCACCATTCATCTCATATGCTAGAATAACCTCGCCAAGGCCGTCAAAAGCCTTCTCAACTGGGAAAGAGCCACCGTATGTGTAACCTGTCTCATCCTGGTCGTATCCTTCCATCTGGACGTGCTTCACGCCCCCTGGGGGCAGCTTCTCGCCCAAGGCAAGGGCATCAACATCCCATCCACAATCCTCAAGTACATCGCGAAGCTTGACACCTCCCCACTTTGCCGTCGACATGGCTCCGATAACCCAATGAGGGCTGATAAAGATCTTGTGTTCCTTGTCGTGAAGATCTTCGCGACGATTGCCGGCACACTGTAACGTTGTGATGACTTCATGCTTTTTGAACTTGGTCTTGAGATCCTTAAGGGTGTAGACAATCTTTTTCTTCTTAAGACCCTTTCCTTTAATGATCAATCTGTATTCTTCTGGACAGAGATCTGGCACGGCAAGGTGGTTCCTCGTGTAGAATAGCTCATTGGGCGTAATGTAGCTCTCCGTCAAGCGTTCAATGCGAGGCTCGCCATTGAACGGCTTCGAAGTTGCAGGGAGAAGATCCGGGTGACGGATAGGGTCAGTCTCGAACATGTCCCCATGAGTAAATTCTCGAGCTTTCTCGTCATCTTCGGGTGACAAGTTGCCAATCCTATACTTCTCCATCCACTGAATGACATGGCCTCGAAAATGCTGGCGATAAATGTCCCTATAGGTGGTTGTAGTTGAGGTGAGGAATAATTTATAGCAGGACAAGCGTGACAAGACCTGCCTTTTTGCACGTACCAGTAGGGCTCCAAGTCTTGACCTGCAGCCATGAGAAGGCGCTTCGCAAGAAAAAAAATCGAAAAATGCGTAAGTTTGCACTCAGCTTGGCGGAGGCAACAAAAATTAGGCAATCTGATTACTCACTGGTGCTCCTCCAGGGTGCCCGTTGAGGAAGAACGACATGTCATAGACTGCACCGCGGAAAGTATACCACATGTCGCCTTCATCGTTGTGTTCTGCGACCTGTTCCAGTGGGATAGTTGGGAGATCGGGGCGTTTGGGCGGCAGGTTGTCGGCTGCAATAGAGTAAAACTTGGACTGGGACGGCTTTCGGATTTCAACTGAGACAGGCTTGGGCTGCCAGTAGTCAGATGATTCCGCAAGGGTCACGGCTCCAGCCGAGAACACCCCTGCGAGAGCAGCTAATCCTACCGCTCCAGCGTTCTTGAACGTGTTGTCACCTTGTTCTCCCGCAGAGGTGCTCAGGGCTTTCAAGAGCTGATTTTGAGCACCCACGGCACGGGGGCCATTTCGAAGCAAAGTTTGGGCAGTTTTTCTGATTCCTTGGCGTAGCAACATTCTGTTTTATTGGAAATAATTGTTTTGGTTTAGTTTTATGGGCTGCAGAAGATACCTTTCGCCTGATGTCAACTTGCCCAGCAACTGAAATCCAAGTTGATTTCGGCCTTCGCAAGCAAAATGTGATGCTGGTTTCAGCGTTTCGGCCAGTACCGGTGTACCATACGGTACCGAAAAGATTCTCTGCCTGTTTTGACTGTGGAGACACTGTAGAGCCTTTGTTGTTCGGTGTGTTCCTTCGATGCTTATGTGCCGGAAGTTTGGAGCACGTGTATACTTTGAAAACACAGGAGCCAGTTCTCCCACTCCCAACAAATCCAGAACAGCAAGCATGCATTGAAACGAAAAAGCAAAGGTCTCAATGTGCGACTCAAGATTAGTGCTTTCTCTTGGTGGGAGTTGGGAGAGAGGTGCGGCAGAAGGACCAAGTCAGTGTGGGAGCCAACGGTGAAGGGGTACGGGTACCGGCACCGGACCAGCGGCAGGCTCCATGGTGGGAGAAGTTGATGGAACTGGTTGCGGCCTGGACAGCATGAAGGTGGCGAAGCATGGAATCGGACTACCACCTTTCACCAGGGGCCGCACGGAGGTAGCCCAATGCTGGCCCATACCGGTAGTAGTGCCTTGACAGCAAGGGGCAGAGCGAGCGGGCGGAAAGAAGGCGGAAGACAACGTTGATGCCCACGACTGTTTTGATGGAGTTGGCAGCGTGTTTGATTGCCCTGTTGCATCATCGACTATAAAATAGACAAGTAGACAACGCTCCGGCCATTCCTCTCGGCAGGCAGCTATGACGGATGGTACCAGATACAATAGTCATAAACGTCTGAAAACGGAAACAAAGTCTCTCTAGAAATATATATTACCAGCAATTTCCAATCCATGCAATTCTTGTCATTCGCTCACCATGTACTCGTGTGTTGTAGTGGCTTATGCGGTCTTGGCGGTGGTAGCTTCAAGGACATCGTCGAATGTCTTTTGTTCCAAGTTGGCAAGACGCTCTTCGGTTCCCAAGATGGCAGGACGGACGTACCCCTCGCTTCCCTCTTCAGGTGTCAAGTATGGGAACACATCAACCTGGATCAGGATATCCCGCAGAGCGTCTGCCTCGGCAATCTTGTCGGCTTCTGCCTGTGTTGGCTCTCGCTTCTCGCGGCGGAGAGTAGAGGCAATCTTGTCTGCCTCAACGCAGATTGGAAGGGCATATGCCAAATCAGATCCTTGGTACTCACCCTGCTTGTAGGTTGCCTCATCTGATCCGTAGAGAGTTTCTGCGAACATGTCACGAAGCCCGGAAGGAGTGGTGATAAGTCGGGACACCTCCTTTGTAAGTTCATCTGAGGGTGGCTTGTAGTGGCGTGTTAATCCTCCCAATGGGAAGCAGCCGGCCTTCATTGTGGCAGCGGCAATTGGTCCCAATTGACCTGGGAAGTTGTCAGAGGCAACCTTAAGAGCTTCCTGAGCTTCGTACTCCAAGCGTTGCATAGCGTGCTCTGTAATAGCTTCAAGTCCTTCGACTCCTCGGCGACGAGTGTAGTGGTGCAGTGTGGAATATCCCAAGAAGATAGCACCCAAGGCATCGGCCAGACGTCCCATGAGCAACTCTTCGAACTTGAGGCGTCCACCAAGAGTGAAGCACAAGTCAGCAGTCATGGCAAAGTTGGCACTGAGACGCAACAGCTGGGCCTCGTGGTACGCCAACAACTTATCGCCATCCTTGTATGCGGTCTTGGAGCGGGTCTTGGTGGAGATGGAGGAGCTGATACCACGGGAGATGGAGCGTCCAAAGTTGGAAACACCGTGTCCAAGAACGTTGTAGAATTGCTTGACAAAAATCTTGGTGGCTTCAGCCTCTTGTTCCTTGGGCATTTGAAGGGCGTTGATAATATCAATCATGTGTGGGTGGCACCGAGTCAAACCTTGTCCAATGATTTGGAAGGAACGAGTCATAATGTTGGCTCCCTCAACGGTGATACCAATGGGCATGCTCATGTATGGGTTTCCGACCAAGTTCTTGTCTCCCAAGCAAATGGCACTTCCAGCGGCGACATCCATGGCGCGCTCAATGATACGGCGTCCCCGCTCTGTGCAGTTTTGCTTCATGACAGAGGAGATGACCATGGGAGCCTCGTGGTTGTCGATAATGGCATTCATGAGGTCGGTTCCAGCAAGACAGATCAAACCATCGCTTCCAGCATCCGCCAACGCCTCTTGGATACCTCCGAACTCGGCAATGGGGACCTTGAATTGCTTTCGAACACGGGCATAGGCACCGACGGCGGTGACAACACCACGGGCACTACCAGCAGCTCCAGCAGGCAAACTGACACCACGTCCTTCGGCGAGACATTCCACAAACATGTGCCATCCGAAACCGCATCGCTCCTGCCCACCCAAAATGTGTGACATGGGGATCCAGACATCCTCTCCTTCAACGGTTCCGTTCATAAAAGCTGCATTCAAAGGCTTGTGACGAGGTCCCATGCGCAATCCTTCGTGGTGGCGTCTGTCATGATTAGAAATAAATATATTGTAAGCTTCATTTTCAAAGGCAGTGAATAAATTGCATTGTCATTTTTTGGCACTTACTCCAATAGGGCAACAGTGAAACCTTCGCCTCCATTTCCCTTCAACAATCCATTGGGATCCTGAAGATTCAATCCAATGCCCACAACACCAGCCACAGGGGCCAATGTGATGTATCGCTTCTTGAAGGTTGCACGCACTCCCACGACTCCGTCACGCTCTTCGACAACACCATAACTTCCAATCAAACTCGTGGCATCACTTCCAGAATGAGGACCGGTCAAACCAAAGCAAGGAATCAAGGTTCCATCGGCCAAACGAGGCAAGAAATATTCCTTTTGTTCTTGTGTTCCATATCGGACCAACAACTCCCCAGGTCCCAACGAGTTGGGGACTGCCACAGTGGCATTGGCATCGGTACAGTGGATGGCCAATTTTGCCAAAATGACAGAGACGGCCTGAGTGGAAAATCCCAATCCGCCCCATTCCTTGGGGATTTTGAGTCCAAAGAATTTCTGGTCGCGCATAAAGTCCCAAGCCTCCTTGGTAAAGTCACGCTTGCTGGTGACCTCATGGTCATTAATCAAATCGCAGAGCGCATTGGTTTCTTTGTTGATAAAGTCCTCTTCTTCCGGAGTCAACTTGGGCTGGTAGGTATCCACCAACTTTTTCAAAGAAGGATTTCCAGTAAAGATGTCGCGGTCAAAGCCAATGGTTCCACTGACAGATCCCAACAAGAAGAAAACAAAGTGAGCAATAAATCTTACTACAAAATGGGCAGGCATCCACCAGAGGGGAGATCAAAGAATGCTACAAGAAGAATACAGAAAAAACATTCTCCCTTGATACCCATCCATTACCCCCCACCAAATCAAACCAATCAAGCATCCAAGACGTACCATCCCAAAGCAGTTTGTTCGGTAGCCGAAATGGTGGGCATGACACCCTTGGCCATTCGGTAGAGCCGAGTATCAATGGCACTGGACAATCCCAAAATTCCTCGTTGTTGTTGAAGCTGGAAAGCTGGGGTGCCAGCTCGCGCAGCTTGGCGGGCCCATGTCCTTGTGGCGGCTTGTGTGATCTTCATGGTGTTTTTATTATTTTTCTGTTGATTGGTTGTTTTCCAAAGAACAGTGATGCTATTGGTACCAATTGAGCAATCAAGTGAGAAAGAAGGTTAGGCCATCGAAGGTAATCAATAGAGCGGCCTTCCAGATACGTTTACGCCAACGCAACCGACTAATCACTTACGATACAAATACAAGTCCTTGGGAGGTTGTGGGAAGAGATTGTATGAGAGGATTGAGCGGTTGGAAATCAAATAAAGCCGAGAGGGGAAAAGCTTTGTGTTCTCACAGAAGATTGATGGATCTTGATGACGCTGCTTGTGGGTTGGGAAATCGCAGTTTGAAGCATTCGTGAAGAATGGTGTCAGTGACAATGCATCTGAAAGCCAGCTGAAATGAAAAGGGGTGTTTCTCAACAAATTCGTGAAGATACCCCCATTTAAAAGGGGGCAGTTTTGAGGGTGACAGCTTGAAAGGTGGATTGGGATGCCATGACGCACAGGACGGAAGCGACTTTCCTTGAAATTTCTAAACGGTGGGAATGGCTTTGGCCCTGACACCATTTCCATCAGAAGTTTGTCCGGACAGATGATGCTGCCACCGGCAACGAGCTAGTACAGCTGTACCAGGAACGCTGCTGGGGTCGGAGGGTATCATCGTATCATCGTAATCATCCTCCAGCCATCACGGCAGCTTGATGACGAAGGAAGCGGAAATCCCAGGGGGTATGCAAAACTACTCTACCAAGATTGCTTGCTATCGGTAGCCGATGCAGAAAACTAATTACTATTGCTACTATCTTGGCTATTACATCACTACGGTATCTGACATCCAGTCCTTCCTTCTATCATGATCTTCATTTTGAACTGGATACCAAAGGGTAGCCGTACGATGTAGCTAGTAGGATAGCCAGCCGTACCGGTGCATGTACCCTGTACCGTTAATTGGTAATACCATGGTTAGGTACTCGTAGTAGGGTCATCGTCATACTCGTCATCTTTAAAAAATTTCCAAGCCGTCTGGGCTGCTTTTTGGCTGCCGTGACGCTTATTCTCGCGATTGTTGCTTTGTTGTTTCCTCTCAAGACGAGATTCAATCACAACAGACCGAACTGGGCCGCTAGTAGCGAAGGTCAACGGTGTCTGCCTCTACTACTAGCTATTAATAGCTACCGCTTCTCCATTCTGCGTTCAAGGCGAAGTAGTAGACGTAGACCGGCATTGAATTGGTCCCTCTACTTAATGTTGGCGAATGAACTGACCATGGCTTGACGTCGGAGAACAATGCCATAACACATTCGGATAAACAGAAGTTGTTTGCGTGTCTTGCGGTGTGGGCGAAGAAGATATTCTACGGCCAGTTCAGGCCACAAGGTACTCCAGAGAAGTAGAGGTGTGTTCGGTCACCATGTTAAAAAGGATATTCAGGTCATATTTTTCTCTTCCATTTCCTCGTTCGTGAGCTTGACTCATAGTTTGTTGTCCTCAGTTGACAACATTCGAAAGGAAATCACAAACAGATCCTTACAATGGCGGGAGTGGCCGAGGCCATGGCGGCTTCGTCGATTTTACTCGAGGGCGGCTCTGTTGCATCAAGCGGCACACGTACAGTACGAGGCAATCATAGCCAAAGACCCGATGTAGCTCGATCCTGCATTTGTATGCATCCTCGTGCCGCTTGTCGAAAGCTGTCGGCAGCATTTGGTATGCTGAACGATCTGAGAGGGAACTTTGTCCAGCTACCGTCGAATGAAGTGGAACTGCGTCAAAAATACTACCACTATCTAGATCCCGATTCTGTGAACGATCAAGATGATGCAAACGAGAGCGTTGGTGGAAGAAGTCGCAGCAATGGAGAGGAAGGCGGAGCAGGCTCTGAAGGCAGCTACAGTAACGGGAGTCGCGACGAGGGAAGCTACGGGAGTGACGGAAATAGCGCAGGTGAGAGCCGTAGCTCCAGCGGCTCTGAAGGACATGTTGTGAATGAAGACTCAGGAGGCGCAATGCAACAGGTCAAAGGCGACTTGAGTGAACTGACCGAGATTGAGGATCTACCCGACGAGTTTGTGGCGGCGCACCACTTTCATCCGGATATTATTGCTTGTCATTTCAAGCTTTACCAGTACGACCGAACAGCCAACGATTTGCTCCCCTTCCCTTCACATACTATTTCAGCCAACGAGCGACGTTCCTGCGGCGTTTCCATAGAGCGCGATTTTCGCGACCGTGTTCAAAACGTTGGTGACGACAAAGAGCAGGTAAAGTTTTGGATTGTCCCTTCGTATCCTCTTGATGTGGCGTATGCCGATTGGAAGCAGCTCATGCGAAAATGGTCGCGCGATGTTAGCACGAGCTCTTCAGGTCGCCAGCACAAGTCAAGTGCGCACCGAGCGAAAGGGCAGGCAACTATTACACATCGACGACATTCACCGACAAGGCAAGACGACTTCAGCTCCGTCATGGGAAAGTGGGAGATGGCTTATGCTATGGCCAATCATGTCGTGGACACCTCTGAGCGATCGTCCTCGACGTTTGCGAGACAAGAATCCGTTGCAAAGAATACGGCTGTGGCAAGTGACAATCTTGCGGCGGCTGTGAAAAAGGTGCATTCTACTCGTCTGAACACCAACAAGAGAGATCCACCAGCTCGTGAGATTCGTGTGTGGAAGGCGAGCAATGACGGTGGAATTGTCCCAGCTCCCGAGGCTATTACTGATGACATGTCGGAATCGGAACCTAGCCAGACAAGCATCATCTCCCAACAGCCAACATCACGAAGCGAGGGGCCTAATCCGGCGCTGACTAAGAAGCCATCCACGTCTCTTGCGAGTCCTACGGCCAATGTGCCCACTGTGGCCATCTCCAATGTTCCCACGGTGGCTCGTCCATTCCTTGGGTACTGGTTACCTATTGGTTTGTATTGCGCTTTCCTCGTGGGAACAGCGCTTTGCGCTTTTCATGTTGTCCGTGTTCTCGACTCCAGAGAGAGTGCACTGGTCTGTTCAACGCCTGCTTGCAAAATTGCATCTGCAAGAACGTCATGGTTTCGCGCCGCTGAAACCTACTTGTTCGCAGTCACCCCAGACATTCCTCGTTATTTGGAGTTGTCCAAGGCTATGACCGAAGCATGTTGGAACTTTGTACTTGCAGTAGCCGCAAAGCTTCCAATTGTGAGGTTGATGGTCGAGTGTGCCAACGCAATGCGGTAGCTGCTGCCAAATTTCACTATCCGCTCTACTCAAGACTACCTCAGGGCTGTCGCAGCAGAACTGGCTGTGTTTGTTCACATCCACTTCCGGACAGATTCCTTGAATGGGAGGAGGTTTTAGGTTCAGGTGGTGTTCTTTCGGATGGGCTTGACAACCTGTGTCTGATACATTCTAGCCACTCTCCCGCATCCGCTGTTTCTGAGACTCTTTCCCCCTGAGTAGGTTAGATTTGCTCACCAAGTTGATGCATAATGCAGTTTGTTTGTCTTCAGGAGCGAATGTTGACTCAGAATTCTAACGACGACAAGTCGGCAACTGACTTAGGTAAAGGAATGACTTCATCCTGTACCTGGTAAGGAAGCTTGCGGCTAGCTACCCCAGCCAAGGTTTGACCTCGCCCTTCGTCGAGGCGACCTTGGAACCGTACTCTACGACGAGGTGAGCACTCCTCCCTCAAGTTTGAGTGCAAATATTAATATTAATTTTACAGCTCTTCCGGCTTTTCGATATCTTGTTTCTTGCATGCCAGCAAATCTTCGATGATCGATAAGTGCTTCTTGGATGCTGGCAACTCTAGCTAGCTAGATAGTAGTAGCTTATCTCAGATAACCAGAGGAGGTATATCGGTAAGGCACAATGCGATCTTGGTATCTTAGGGAAACAGTAGGAGAGAGATAGCCAGTAGTAGTGTACGATGCAACTGTGGAGGGGATGGGCTGCTGGAGATCAAAAATCCCAAGCAGACCCCTCTGCGGTCACAATCGAGCCAGAGAGGCGAGAAGAGCATGAAAAGGTAGAAGAACCCAGACCCGATCAAGTAGAAGCATCAAACGACATCACCATGGCGCCGAAACCGGCAATCTACGAGTCCAGCAAAGGCGGTGACAGCGAGCATAACCTCATGGCTGCCTCTCGGGAAGCTGCCAATTATACCAAAGAATATCCTGCCGAGTATGACGAAGCGTCTGTTTCTGATGCTGAACACTCTTTTGTCTCTAACTCGGACGTTAGCACCACGGATGGAGAACACGAAGATGAATCCTACCGTAAGGAAAGGCGCTCGCGTCGTCGTCGCAGCCGCAAGAAGAAGTCGCGAAGCAAGGAACGACGATCCAGGTCTAGAAGCGTTGACAGGGGCCACCATGAAAAAGAGGAAGACCGTCCTGAGAAACCTGAAGCCGAATCAGAGGAATTTGTTCAGGACAGTGGCCTTGATGACAGCTCTGTTCCTTCGCAGCATCGGTCCTCCATCTTCCACCAAGATGTGGAGCACGCTCCACCTGTTGTTTTGCCTTCTGGAAAAAATTCCGATCAGCCCGTTGTGAAGCTGCTGAACTTCCAGACCTTGCATAGAGCCGAACAGGATCGTCTTCCTGAGTATTCAGAGGAACTCAAGAAGATTGTCACTCAGTGGACTGACTGCAAGATTACGCTTCAGCGTCTCTTGGATGAAGTCGAGCATGCAAACCACTTGTTCCAGGTCTCGGAGGCCTCTTTCCACCAGTACTCCCATGTCATGTTCACTATCCACAAGGATATCTTCTTGGACGATCAGGGAAACCGTGTTACGAGCAGTGCCCGTCAGCAGCTCTTGCTCAAGCAACGCGGAAGTGGTAACTCGGATATCATTCCTGGCAGAGATGAATCCACCCTCTTGAGCAGCGAAGGTTACCTCGAGCCCTTGTACAACTCATTCTCGGTGTTGACAGATACAATGATGAAAACGGTCCTGGAAAGAGAATCAGAAAATGGCAAACAGGCAGCTGCCATTGAGTTCCAGGAATTCAGTGAAGAACTGATCACCCAGGCTGAGGCAATGAGAGCTTTGGGTGACTCTGTGGTCAAGGAAATGGAAGGGTCTGAAATGGACATACAAAATTCGTTCCGTAAGTTCGTTGGTTGTGTGGTGGGGCTTTATTGAAAGCACTTGCTGACGTCTCTTTCACGCACCCAATACAGGTGTCTTGGAGCAGTTGGCTGCCAAGGTCAAAAGTGCCAAGCCATCGTCGGCCAATGTGCTGGACGATGACATTAAGCTGAAGAAACCGGACAAAACTTTCCCCAAGGATATGGGATATGGAGGCAACAACGCCGGCGTTGGTGACTGGTGGCTTTGGGAGACGTTGTACCGCGCTGCTGTGAAACATCAGCAAATCACTTGGAGTGCCAACTACGATCGTGTGCAAGGCCTCGAAGAGTCTCTAGAGTATTTCCAGGATAAGCACGAGAAGAAACTCGAGAAAGCCGTGCTGGCTGTGATGCCGGAGCAACGCGAGATGTTCCTCGTCGGAGCCAAAGCTTTTGAATCGGCATTGAAGAAAACGGATGCCTTTGCTGAGGAAATCAAAGGAAACACCACGTTGGACCATGAGAACATCGCGGATGAGTTTGAACAAGGTGTCCAGAAACGCTCGAGCTCGCTCATGCAAGAGAAGACGCACCACAAGTCGTCTATTCTAAACAGGTCCCGCAGCAAGTACAACTCTGCCATCCAGCAGGCGGAGACACTGTCGCCAGCGACCGCTACCGACGTGAGCAGCAAGCCTCTACCTGCATTTGGAAGTCCAATGCTGAGCAAGCTAGTGCTCAAAGCGCAGGTTCTTGAACGATGGGAAAAATCAGGTTGGATGACGACCATTGCGATATTCACATCGGATCGCTACTTGCATCTGTTTGACTGCGAAGACTTGGATACCAAGACACTGCCCCAAACCGCCTTTACCTCGATGTTCCCGACAACGGCTACGACGCGCGCTAATGTCCATCATCAGGGAAAAGGGCGCAAGAGGGCCAGTCGAGCGACCGAGCACAAGATCCCAAAACCGAGCATGACCTTCAACTTGGTTACCTGCACCTTGAAGACGTACGGCTACGCTAGGCGATCCTTCGAAATCAAGCAAGTGGCTGATCCTACCGCGAAGAGCAAAGATCTTCCCCACACCACCTTGAGATTTAAGGACAATCCAGAAGCTGCCCAATGGTACGGGTTGCTTCAAAACCTTCCAGAAAGTGCCCCAGAGCCGTCTCCTACCCCTCAAGCCACCCACGAACAATTGGAGCTCGACTTGCAACAAGTCGAAGCAGAGGCCGCACGCGCGAACGCTCTCTATGACGAAGCAGACGAATTGGCCGGTTCAAATGACGAAGGCGGTCCTGCTTCGTCTGAGGAAGACAGCGGTAAGCGTGAGCTTGAAGACATCTCGGAAGGCGACGAAACCCAGGTGGCTGACAACAAGAAGAATGAGGGTGAGGGAGCTGGCGAAGGAGACATGTTTGAGGACGCCAGCGAGTATCTCGAAGGATCTGGCTCAGTGGAGGGTGTTGTGGCAGATGGCTTCAAGAAAGAAGCTGTCGAGGTTGAGACAGTTGATGAGAAGAGTGACGATTCATTTCATTCATGGAACTAAGTGGTTACCAAAGCGTTGTGAGAGCTCGAAGAGAGGTACGGTACGCTGGCCTGCGAAGAACCTCTGGTCCAATAGTTTGCTAAGGTTCTGTTGATGGTTTTTTGGTGGCAGGATTGATGAATTTGTTCAGGGAAGTCAATGGACCATGTTCCATTGCCCAAGGATATTTCACATAGTAAAAGAACATTACATAAATAATGCATACAACCGAGAAGAACCGCTGCCAAGTGGCAGTAAAGATTCGTGTTGCTCCCTGGGCGGTCGTACGGTACCGTTGGCTGGACAGCTTATTGGTACCGTACGGTACGATTCGGAGGGGGGTGCCCCTTCAAGATGAATCTTGGTACCATTGACCTACAGGTAGGCATTGGGCCAATGATTCAAAATGGAATCTTCCTCACTCTCCTTGGACAGGTTTGCGTCTTGGCAGGCGGTAATAGCGGGGAATCCCACAATCATTTCACCGGCAACAAAGCTGTTGGGTTCAAAGGGTAGATCCAACCCGAGGGATCCATACTTGGTGTTGGCTGGCCCTTTAGTTAGGAGGAGGGGGGTGCTCCTTCAAGATGAATACTGGTACAGTATTGACCTAGAGGTGCCGGTAGGCATTGGGCTGATGATGCGTTGGCCCTTTGGTAGACTACAGTCGTACTACTAGTAGCACAATCCGTTCGGCCATGATGCGGCCGTGCATGAAAGTTTTGAGTCTCAGTCGTGCGGTATGGTACCGGTTCTGCTGCCTCTGACAGCAACCTGCTCGATTGCGGAAGGAGCTAGCTAGTAGATAGAACCAATCTTGCGCAGTGACATATACGGCTCTTTACTAGTTTATTTACTGTAGTATATTGATGAGGTGGTGATACAAAGTGAAGCGAGGCTCTGACGTCTTGTTCTTTGCGAATATGCAATTTTAGGTCAACGATTGTGTTGCAGCAGCGAGGTTGATCTGTGCTCTTCCGAGTTCTGCAGGAGAAAGACAAGTAGACGGTGAGACGCAAGTTGACACAAACCAAAGGTTGGAAAAACGTGCTGCTCAGAGAGAACTTACTGGTACGCAGGTAATAGACATACCCGGCTAGTAGAACAGCCAGAGTGAGGAACAGTCCGATGCAGACGGCAGCTGCCTTGGACTTCTTCACTGTGGAGGTACGAATGACACCGTCTTCACGGATAATCTTGATACCTTCAATGTACGAGCAAGAGCTCTCATTGGGGTAACCAATGTTCATTCTAGTCTCGCACTTTCCTGCGTAATCGTAGATATTTGCACAAAAGTCCTTGAGTTCGTTTCCATTTCCGTCGTTTTGGCCACATGCAAAGCATCGAGAAGAAACCAATGAGTCATCCGAATAAGGTAGATTGTATCCCATCATGTTGTAGAAGGTACTCTCGCCGTTCTGAGCGTAAGTTGTGCAGGTATCATCGGTGAAGACTCCCAAATGGATTTCTCCACCTTGGTCAGCACAGTAGGGACCAATGTAGTATTCGTAGCCATTGTTGTTTTCCAAACGACGTCGCTGTTTGAATTCCGCACACTCAGCATATTCCGAAACGTCAAATTCTTCGTCCTCGTTGTTTTGTTGGTTTCCATCATCATTGTAGAGGTTGTTGCAGAAGGACACATCATAGGCGTCATAGCAAGCACTCATACAGGTAGCTGCATCGTCATTTCCGTAGCACTCGTCTTGACAGTCATAAGTGGCATCCTGACAGATGTCTTCTTGCTCTTCCTCCAGTGCCTCGAGATATGCAGCCACAAAGGTGTTCATGTCCACTACATAGTCGCCAAACTTGGAAGTGCAACCTGCCGAGTTGCTATTGCTGCAAGAATCGGATTCACACAGACGAAAGCGCACCAGCCGCTTTGTCTTGACGCGGACATCGTCTTCATCCTCTGCATATTCATTCCATTGCTGAACATGATGGCATCCTTGGAATTTCAGACTGTAATCGGCAACAAAGGAGTAATCCACATCTTCGTTCAAACTACGGCCACCATCCACCGGCCGTGCTTGTGCCAATAGTTGCTTGCCAAGCTTGGAACTTGATCTGATCTCTGTATTTCTGTTGATACTGTGCCTGGAACCAGCGACAGTGCTGAACAAGGCCGCCACTGACAGCGCTAGGACGCGTACTCGGAGCATCATGGTGGAGATGGACTAGGTTCAAGAAGAGGTTGTGGTGTTCAACAAGGGACGCTCCATCGGAGAGAAATCGCCAACAACCGACTAGGTCGCCGGAAGCGTGACGCTCCGCATACCGAACCTGTACAAACGGTCAGAATATTACTTAGAGTGTGGTGGCACGAAGAGGGACCTCACCCCGCTCACAAGCTAATACAAGCTCACAAAGCTGCGTGAATTCCGAGCCAATCCATGGCGCTCCGCCACAATTGATTCGATTCCCTCGAGAAAGCAGAAGAAGTGACAACTGGACTGGTAACTCCACGTTGTGCAGTGTAATAGCTGGCTGGTACCAGTAGATCTCGTAGTAGAGTAGTGGCTAGTAGCTAAGATAGCCCTGGTCAAAGATGGAAACGAATTCATGTATGTACTCGTTCTATATTACTTAAAACCCAATCTTTGGTCAGAGTCAGTGCGTCAGATCAGACTCATCTTAACGTTTGTCCACCACAACACACAATCTGGAGGGTGGAAGCCAAGAAAGCGAAGCAATTTGAGCGCTTCTTTGGAGTTGGAGGAATCAAGGAGGTCTATTGGTACTGGTATCACATGAAGATTGCAGGAAGGCGCATGTGGATGAATCGTCAAAATAGCAAGCTTAACCACCGCCGCGGGCAGCAATGGCTGCCATAAGTCCTCCTCTTCCTCCACCAGGGGGGCCTCCACCACCGCCCTTTCCACGACCTGCGATAGCTGCCATCAGGCCACCTCTGCCACCAGCAGGGGGGCCTCCACCTCCTTTCTTGCCGCGACCCGCGATAGCATCCATCAACCCGCCTCTGCCACCGCCAGGGGGCCCACCACCCTTCTTGCCGCGACCCGCGATAGCATCCATCAAACCTCCTCTGCCACCACCGCCTCTTCCGCGTCCTCGGCCAGCAATGCCAGCCAACAGACCACCTCTGCCACCACGAGGAGGTTCTGGAATAACCACTTTCTCGGTGGCACCAAAGTCTTCGTCCGGTTCCTCCACTTCCGGAACCATCTTCTTTTTGACCTCTTCGATGACCTCGTCAATCTTCTTGAGTTTGCGAGATCGATCGGGACGAGGTACGCCAAGCTTTTTGAGTGTTGCTACATTCTTGGTATGCAGCTCGCCAAGCATTCCTTCCAGCAGCTCAATCGTCTTGGAAACCCTCGTATCTTTCACCTTCAGTTCCTCCATTCGATCCTTCATGTACTTGAAGAAGACTTCAGCACATTCAAACACTTCGTCTGACAAACCACACTCAGTAGCACTTCTAGTGTCAGGACCATCGCCTCCAGCCTTCTTCTTTCCAGTGGTTTGCATACCAGACCGCCCTGCAAAGTCCAGAGTTGCAAGCTTCAGATCATTTAGAGAGTCGGTGAAGCTAGCCACTTCTTTCTTCTTGTCATCGTCGGTGAACTTCTCGTTAAATAGACTGTTCTCAACCCATTTGGCCTGGGCAGCCTCCATCTTATCCATGGACTCATCCATCTGCTCGCAACTTCCATTGGCCTGCGAAACGAACCTAACACCTTTGTAATGCTTTTTGAGAGCATTTGCACGCTCGTTGGATTTCTTTTCCTTGGCAAGCTCCAATGCCTCTGCCATCGCTTTGGCACCTGGATCGTCAACATCGGATTTGGTGACCTGGGATGCCTCGTATTGTGCTTCTTCAGTCCATCCGTAGTCTCCTGTGTAATCGGGGTTCTTGTCGGCCTTCACGGGACACTGTTTTCCGAGCAAAGGGCAACCAGCGCTGGGATCATCACGAGTTGCATACGGATGGTTGTCTGGTGGACCATACTGGGCAATGTGCCTCATGTAGGGCGCCAGAGATTCCTTGAAGTTATTCTTCATCATTTGGTACCAGGTCCATTTTCGCTCCGTCATCTTTTCCGCTTTGTTCTTGTTCCATTTTGGTCCAATGGATTGCACATGAGCATAGATTGCGCGACGCTCGGTCAGCGTCAGACCTGTCACACGCATGTTCTCCAGTGTGGATGGATGCATTCTTTCAATGTCACCAGGGTCGAGTCGAAGCAGCATAAGAACGTTAGTACGCTTGAATTTCTTCGCTGTTGCCTTTGGGAGAAATTTGCCGTTGGGTGATGGGTTACCACACAAAGCTGCCTCACTGAGGTTCCTGATATTCACTGGCATGTGACGACGTAGCTGTTTGAGCGCATCAATATTCGCCTGCAAGTTGTCGTCCTCCCATTTCCTCTCGATTCGATCTTGTTCAGCTTGATACTCTTCCGTGATCATCAGAGCTGAATTGTAACGCTCCATCTCTTGTTCGAGTTTGAAGTACTCTTCACGCAGACGCGTCTGTTCCTCTTTGTCCGGGTGCGTGACATCGCTGCCACCAATTTCGTTCATTCTCTTGGCAATTTCCTCGACCTTCTCTTTTGCTTCCTCGTAGGGAATATCATCAGCAATAGCAACACCTGCCTGAGCGAGTTGCTTTTCGAGCTTTTTCTGTCGTTTTTCGGCATCCTGGAGCTTCTTCAGAATGTCACCAATGTCACCCTGGTTGAGTTTTTCCATCATTTCTTTGATATCCGTAGCACCCATCGCGGAAATTGCACGAGCAGCTTCGGCAACATCGTCGGGAACAGCTTGCATTCCTTCGGGAACGAAGATGCCTTTTTGACCAGGCTTAGGTGGCGGCGGTTTTGGAGCTGCTGCCGCCGCTGGTGCTGCTGCTGCCGCCGGTGCTGCTGCCGCCGCCGCTGCTGGAGCGGCTGCCGCTGGAGCTGCTGCTGCCGCGGCTGGAGCCGCCGCTGCTGCCTCTGGGCCCTTCTTCTCCAACGGAGACAAAACAAAACGCGGCGTGGCCGAGTCCAGGTTCATCTTTTGTTTCACAACATTATCCAAATCCTCCTTGCTCTGGCCCGAAAGGTTTGCCAATTCGTCCAAGGTGAGATACTTTATGTCAGACTCAACCTTGAGCTGCTGCGGTTCATTATCGGCACCAGGCGCCACCTTGACGGCAAACCTTTGCTCGCCGTTGGGGCCCACGGATAGGTCTTGATTTGCTGTTTCAGGGGCTGCCTCTAGCGTGCCTTGGCCATTGGCTTTACCTTCGTCACCAACAACCACAATGTAGGCATGAGCCTTATCCCCGTCTGCCGCGCCAGATGCTGGTGCGGCGCCCGGTGGAGTTTGGGCAGCTTGTGCTGCAGGAGCAGCAACCGATTGTGGTGCTTGTTCTTGTGCTGGAGTCTCGGGAGTTGGTGCTGCAGGTTGCACAAGGGGCTCGCGGTTAACCATATCACCAGCAACAGTTGCACTGCCCCCTGTAGGTTTAGCTGCTTCCTGGGCTCCAAGAAATCCGGAGAGGTCCGTGCTTTTGGATCCATCAACCATGAGGTCGCCAGCGGCATTCGAAGTCGCAGTGTCGGGAGCTTTGCGAACTATACGTCGAACTTTGGTACCGTCGGGTCGGGTGATGATTTCCCCTTCCTGGCTTGCATCAGCTGAATTGACGACTCTTCGCACGCGGCGAACCTTTGTTCCATCGGGCCGGACGAAGATTTCCCCCTCCCCGTCCCCTGCCGCCACAGTTGCATTGCCACCTGTTGGTCTAGCAGAAGCATCTTGGCCCAAGAAGCCATCGAGTGTTTTTGACTGGTTGTTCGCAGCTCCTCCTGCAGGCACTCGTCTTCGAATTCGGCGAACTTTCGTTCCGTCGGCTCTGGTGATGATCTCCACTTCTTCGTCTGGTTGTGCTGCCCCTGCTTTGGGTGCAACCATATCCCCGGCCACAGTGGCACTTCCCGAAACCTTGGGCTTTTCATCGGCTGCCTTATCCAAAAATCCAGCCAAGTCACCTGCTGCGCTACCGGCTGGTGGCTGACTTGCAGCTTCTTCTGGCTTGGCCGCTTCTGCCTCGCCCGCTTGCTTTGCAGCTTCTTCCTCGGCCTTTTTCCTAGCTTCCTCTTCCTCTGCCGCCTTCTTTGCGGCTTCCTCCTCTTCTTGTTTCTTCTTTTCTTCCTCTTCCTTCTTCTTTTCTTCCTCCGATTTCGCCGTCTTCTTAATTCGCCTTACTTTCTTTCCGTCGGGGCGAATGTAGATCTCACCCTCAGAATACTTGGCCTTATGGCCTTCGGCTCCAGTCACCGTTGCACTTCCAGACATTCCTGTTCCTCCCGTAGCTCCAGTGTCGAGGAATCCAGCCAAAGATTGCGAGCTCGACGGTGCGGCTGCCTGGGGATTCTTCTTGACACGTCGAACCTTTTTTCCATCCGCCCGAATGTAGATTTCTCCTAGTTCCTTTCCGTCACCGGACACTGTAGCGCTTCCGCCCTGTGGTCGTTGTGCATCGCTGTTGCCCAAAAAGGTTGAAAGGCCCTTACCAGAAACACTGCGAGTCTTCTTGATTCGTCGAACTTTCTTTCCGTCGGCACGAATGTAGATTTCTCCTTCTTGTTGCAGGTTACCACCCGTTTCGGCTCCCGTGACGGTCGCACTTCCACTGCCGGCTCCAGGTGCATTTTGAAGCACGTTGGAATCGAGCAACCCATCCAGAGTTGCGGGTTTTTTCTTGACCCTCCTGACTTTCTTTCCGTCGGCTCGAATGTAAATTTCTCCTTCTTCAGCAGCCGGAGCCGGTGCCCCCGTGACGGTGGCACTATCACCAGCAGGCTTTTTCTTGACCCGCCTAACCTTTTTTCCATCGGCTCGAATGTATATTTCTCCCTCTTCGGCAGGCTTGGATGCGCCAAGATCTCCGGGGACAGTAGCACTATCGCCTCCCACTTTGGCTGTCTCTTGCTGGGACAGCATGGATCCCAACGAGGTGGATGCTGGGGCCACACTGGCGGAATCTGAGGCAGTAGGTTTCTTCTTTTTCACTCGTCTGACTTTCTTTCCATCAGCACGAATATAAATTTCTCCCTCTTCATGCGGCTGTGATTTTCCAATATCACCAGGAACCGTGGCACTGTCACCACCTGGGCCTTTGGCAGCAGCCCCACCCAAGTGCGACGAGAGAGAGGGTGTCCCCGCTACGGATTGACTGCTACTAGGAGCCGCAGCGGGTTTCTTCTTTACTCTGCGAACCTTTTTGCCATCGGCTCGAATGTAAATTTCTCCCTCTTGGGGTTTGCTACTCGAGACGGGCCCAGAAACCGTGTGGGATTCTCCCGTGGGACGAGCTCCGTCTCCTTGACTGAGCAAGGCGTCCAGGGATGCAATGTTGTCTCCATCCGTAGGTGGAAGTTGCTTCAAGGCATCTGGCAGGATCACTGCTTGAGCGCCCTTGAGTTCATTGACCAGAGTCCCAAAAGAGTTTGGATCTATCGACGGTTTGCCAGCATATCGCGCCAACAGTCCAATGTGGCGAGGATCCATTTCGGAGAAATCGTCTCCATTATCTCCCAGAGCCTGACACACCTGGATCCATTGCATGAGCTTGAGAGATAGATTGGCTTGAGCGGATTGGCCTTCGTTGGTAACGTAAAAGAATCGATGCTGCGTAAAGGGGGCAGTGGCTGACTTGACATTGCTCCCTCGTTCTACCAGGACATGAGGCAAACGTCCTGTTTTGAGAGCTTCTTTCAGCTCGTCTCCCGTCGCCATACCCAGTTTGGAGAGAGCATGAGGCTCGGTTACCCACATGCCTTTGGGACAGATCGACATGTTTTTCTTCGTTTTTGAACTTCCGTGATGCTACCCTTTTTCTTGATAAACGAACGGGTTATTGTTGCGCAAATTGTATCACCAGCATTCCACGCCAATCTCACTACTAGTAGATCAGATCAGACCAGCTTTTGGATAGGGAACGACAACGACGAGACCATGAATGTTGGTCTCTTGGACCATGAAGAAGAAGATCGAGACAATTGCGTGATCCTTGAATGCTACCGCTGTGCTGCTTTTGCTCGAGACGTTGCGTTAGAAAGATCCTTGGACGCCCGCCAGCCCAATCTTCCACATCACTTTTACCAAAAGTAAGCCTATCCTGCACGGGACCCAACTGGGAAAGGTGCTTTTCGGGTCATTCACTGGATGTTGTCAAGATTCTCCCAAAAGGAGGGAGATCTTTGGAAAGCGGCTACAGTTATGATACCGAGGGGTAGCTTGCTTCACGGTACGGCATCGAAGCGAAGCATCTCTTTGGAGATTCCTATCAGTACTAGTTGATACTATGAGCAATGGTTCATTTTATCTCTCTTTATATGATGTGTTGACTGCAGTACTCCAACTAAGGTAGGATGCCAGTCAAAGTCCACCTGAGTGAGACACTACGCAACGATTGCTTGCCCCACAAATCCAGTTATTCAACCCAGTGTGTCTACGGTATGAGTCTTCATTGCGATGTTACCGTTTTATACAATCCAACAGCCAAGGATGCAAGACTTTCTCACCAAGCTGAAGATAGTTGTTTACGAGCAATAATGCAACCAATTCGAGCGCCAAGAAAAGAGGGAGAAAACCTGGCACTTTTAAGTGTCGCGCCATCGCGGGAAAAGTCAAGGTGGATGTCGCACAGTTGGAAACGTGCATTTCCTTTAATGCCGTGGTTAACCATTTCAACATACACTGAACCAAGAGCGCACCTACTAGTATGCATAACCCGAGGAAAGCATTTATTATGCTTGTAGAGGTGGTTGACTAGTACCACAGCACAGCTCACTTCCTTAGTTTAGATAGTTATTAGTTGCACAGTTGGAAAGAAGGATCCATTAGTCTATTTGTCTTTGACAACCCATCAATTTCTTCACCTATCCTGTCCCCTTGAGAAGAACAACTCTGCCAGATCTGCCCACGAGACCTGTTCATTGGGAAGCGAATGGATTGGACAATTGCTGGTGGTGTTGGTGATGGATTGTGTGAAATGCTCTGTTCCTGCGGGTGCATGAGCGAGGGTTGACTGCAGGTATGGCAAACTAGCTAGTACCAGGTACTGGTATTGCAGAAGAAGTACATGTATGGTACCGGTTCTGTCCATCCGTCCTGTGCGGTCCCGCCCCCTCAACCTTTGCCTTCTTCTTGTCCCCCCCTTCGCCTCAGTCAAAGCAAGCCTTAACCCTACCGGTATGATGAATGACGCTAACCGGGCGTTCGTGAGTTGGATATCCCTTCCCACCGACAGCCACAAGTAGAACCTGTTGACATGGACCCACATGAAGAGGTAGCCTTCCTTGTCATTCCGATAGTTGACAATAATAATGGCTCCAGAACGAGGTAGTTTAGCTTCCAAGGAAGCCCCATCCGCGGCGGCACCCGATGCCAGTGCAGCAGCACCTGCGGATGCCAACAATGTGGCGGCGACAGAGACCCCTGCTGCTGCAGCAGCTGCTGCTGCTGCGAAACCCGATACGGCCACGGCCCGCGAGGGCTTGTTGGATGCTGCCGTGTTGGAATATCTCAAGAAGAAGGGAATGGAATCGGCTGCATCGGAACTGGGTAAAATTCTGAAAGAAGAAGGCAAATCAGACGACAACAAGAAGGGAATGGAAGAAGACGATCGATCCGGGCTCTTGGCCAAGGCTACGGGGGGTGGATTTGGTTACGATCGAGATGCCGCAGCACCGGTGGCTCATTGGGGAGTGCCAGACACGGCAGCACTCAAATATGCCAAAAAGCCAGCCAAAGATGGGGACCAAATGGGCTACGAAGAAGCACGGGCCCTGTTGGATTCCTTTACTTCGTTTCAGCTGTGGGTATTGAGCCTCCCCGATCAAGATGGAGTCCAATCGGCAGCCGGAAACGCCATTGCCAAGGCACAAGAAATGCTTCGACAAGGCAAAAAGGATGGTAAACCAGCCTCTTTGTCATCTGTGGTACAAACGTTGACCAACCAACCTGCCGGCAGTTCCACGGATGAGCTAAATAATGCTGCTATGAGAAATAAGTCCACATCACACTACTACCAGTTGCCGCCATCGGTCAAGCCAGAACTGTTCGCCGTGTCATTTGCCTTGATGGTACACACATACTGTGAGCTGCTCGAAGTGGGCATGGAGTCCACGGCTCATGTCCTACGCGACACCTTTCGAACCGTCTACGAGCCAATGTACGGAAAAGAAATGGCCGATCTCTTTCAATGCGTTTCCACAGAGGACATGATGAGACTGAATTCGCACAATGCACAGCACATGGAATCCCTGGGAACTTTAAAAGGAATACTCGTACAGGTGGCAAACTATCAACTCAAACGCGACGAACTCAACGCATCGGCGACTCAAATGGACGACGCCACACAGGCGGCCAAAAAGGCCAAACTACAAGAATACGATCGGGCGATTGCCATGTTGCGGCAAAAGTACAATGAAGTCAGTCAAAAAGCCAGCATGCTGTTCAATAAGATGCACGATCTACCATTCCTTCGACGTGCTCGAGCCGTCCGATGGCAATTGTCCCTCTCCACCACAACCCACAGTCTCCTGGCGGCCTTTTTAAACGCCAATGATACCTCGCTGTTGGCCATGAATACACTGCTACAAACCAAATGTGAATTGCACGTCGAACAAAGGGACCCTCTCGCATATACGCCGGCGTGTGTCTTGGACGACAACATGGACGTCGACGGGGAAACGACTCTGAAACTCAACAAGTCACAAATCAGTTGGGCGGCTCCCATGGTACGCCAAGATATGGATGCTCACGCCAGCGACAAGTTGGCGTTTCCAAAATTCCAATTGGATAAAGAGTACAGCGACAGTGCCGTGGCACAAAAGGAAAAGGAATTGGTGGAATTCAACCGGGCGCTCTTGGTGAATGGATTTCGCCGTTTGGAGGCGTTGGAACGAAAACAGGAATACGAAGTCCTGCCAGAATTGAGAATTCTCAAGGATGACCCCAATGACACCATTCAAAGACGTGAATGTGCCAACCCACTGGAACCAACCATCCTCTTGTCAACAATTTGTTGCACTGCCGGAGTGGGAACCACCACAAGGAGATCTTTGGTACAGGGATCTTCCTCCTCGTCCAATCGAAGCAGCAACTACTTTGACAAAACGACAGCCATGTGGGAAGAAGCCGGAATTGGACTTTGTTGTGCCAAGATTTGTCCACCGGATGGGCGACAAATCGCAGTGGGGTGTGATGACGCAGCAGTTCGCATCTATCACAAGCAAGGAGAGGACGATGGTGAAGAACCCGAGCAAGTCTTGTTGGGCCACAAGAATGGCTTTCCAGTCTTTGACTTGTCGTGGAATCGAGACGGACGATCCTTGCTCAGTGCAGCTGGAGATGGCACGGTGCGGTTATGGGACACTCGCGCCACTGGCACCTTTGGAACTCCCAAAGCGTCTGGCAGAGAGTCCAGTTCGTCACGTTCTAGCACCAAGGGAGGAATGAACGTGCCCAAGGCAAAAAAAGAGGAATCCGAATCCGTCAGTGGGGCTGCACTGGCAGTGTATCGAGGGCATGCACCGTCTACACCTGTCTGGTCTGTAAGCTTTTCACCGTGTGGCTACTATTTCGCAACGGCTGGTGCCGATGCCACCGTTCGACTCTGGACAACGGACAGAGAAGTCCCCTGCCGGTTGTTCACAGGGCATACGTCAATGATCGTGAATTGTGCGGACTGGAATCCCAATTGCAACTATATCATTTCGGGTGAGTGCAGGACAGTGCGTATGTTTTTGGTTGACTGGGATACACGCTGACTGTATCTTTTCTGTTTTTTTAAGGTTCCGAGGACAAAACGGCACGGCTTTGGGACATTCATTCAGGCCGTACAGTGAGATTATTGAACGGATGCTCGCTTGGGATCACGGCTGTAAAGATATCTCCTTGCGGAAAATACGCAGCCGGGGCTGACTCTGGTGGCGATATCCATATTTGGGACGTTGGAACCGGCAAGAAAGTGACCGAGTTCCGCAACAAACGAGCAGCAGACAGAGACAGACCAACCAGTATGATGCATGCCATGTCTTTCAGTGCTTGTGGTTCCAGCTTGGCTGTGGGTGGTGACAATTGCTGCGTTAGAATCTGGGACGTCCGTCGGGAATCTTTGGAAGCATATCCAGTGGTTGAAACTCCGATCAAGAGTTACCCCACCCGACAAACTATGATCATGGACTTGAAATATTCCAGTCGAAACCTCCTTTTGTCCGTTGGCAAGTACATTGCTCCAGTGCCGTCGCCGGTAATGATCTCTGATTAGATGCCGTTGATGGGCGAACTAATAGTCAATCAAACACGAGGTAAGAGAGGTCTTGTCTATCTAGTCTCTACGCGCCTGAAACTGCTAGAATCGATTGCTTCGGTGTCTACAATCGTACCGTACTACCACACCGTAGCTTCATGTACGGTTGCGGCACTATTGGTACCGGTACTTGGTACCTGGTACCTACCGAAGTCCGTCGTCCCACAATGCTCACAGTTCGTGCTGACTCCAACGAAGCAAGATCTTACAAGATCGTAAGAATCGAATCGAATCGAATCCGTGACCCCGAGTCACTGATTGAAATCTTCCTCCATCCACCCTCCACCATCAACACTCCCAGCCAGATCTTCCTTTTCTCAAAAAAGAGGACCATGGCGAAGACAAAAGCAGCAATGTCAAACCGACCTTGGCAAGTGGCTCTACTGGTAGCCTTATTCCTCCCCATTATCGCTTATGGGCTCTCTTTACCATCTCAGGAGCTAGTGAACCGTCGCAAGAGTCCGGCACTGTGGCGATACGATTTGGCCCGTGAAGATGGCCATGACGATGTGCCATCTAGCAGTACCACCAGTAGTCAAAGACTCCTCCGACAACCTCCCGAAGTCATGGCGCCTGTTGGTGGCTGGCCTCAGCTTCATGCCGCCATTGCCAATGGAGCAGACGCCATTTATCTGGGTCTTTCGGCGTTTAGCGCCCGCGCCAGAGCGGCCAATTTCGATCCAGTTGCCGAACTCCCCAAAGCCGTCGAGTTGTGCCATGCTTCCAACGTCAAGGTATACGTCGCCATGAACACTCTGGTCTTCCCAGATGAACTACAAGAAGTGGAAGAGCTGATACGACTGTGCCATCGAGCCAATGTGGATGCTTTAATTGTGCAAGATTTGGGAATGTCCAAGTTGGTCCAGAAAGTAGGGTTGGAACTTCGTGCTTCGACGCAGCAAACCATTACATCTGCCGATGGAGCCGAATTCAGTGCCAACGTGACAGGGGCAACTCGAGTCGTATTGGGCAGAGAATTATCTGTGGCCGAAATAAAAGCTGTAACCACCAAACTGCAGGACCAAACGGATCATGATCCTGTCGAAGTGGAAGCCTTTGTCCATGGAGCCTTGTGCGTCAGTCTCAGTGGACAATGCTTTTCGAGTGAGGCATGGGGAGGACGCAGTGCCAACAGAGGTCAGTGTGCTCAGGCATGTCGATTGCCCTATGGGCTGGTGGATAATGGCCAGCTCAAAGAAATGGGAGATTTCTCGTATCTACTATCTCCACAAGACTTGTGTGGACTGGATCATGTGCCGGCCTTGGTGCGAGCTGGTGTGTCTTGTTTGAAAATTGAAGGTAGACTCAAGGATGCTGCCTATGTTGCAGCTACGACGAGAGCGTATCGAAATGCAGTCGATCAAGCTTGGAAGGAGTACATGAAGGAGGAGCACCACAACAATTCGCAAGATAATCCAACGGAACCCAGAGTCCGACCTGTAGCACTTCCCGATGAAGAGGTTTCCAAGGCAGAACTTGCTCAGTTGTTCTCAAGAGGACAAGACGAAGAGCACGATGGCCTTTCCAGTGGATTTTTTGATGGATCACACCACCAGAATTTAGTACGAGGCCGTTCGCCGCGGCATCGAGGCATCCATTGCGGAAGAGTGTTAAAAGGAACCTCCGGTAAGAAAGGACTCCTCATTTCATTGGATGCTAGCAAGGACCTCAAGAGGGGAGATGGTTTAGTAATAGACCGGGGACTAGCGCAAGAAGAAGAACTCGGTGGACCCATCTTTGATGTTCAGATCCAAGAAGAGCACAAGGGAGAGCGAGTGGCATTAGTTCGATTCTCCAAGTCCGTCGAAAAGAAATGGAAACAATTAGATGATAGGGCATGGAAGCAGGGAGCAATTCAACTTGCTCCAGCGGGGGCACACGTATGGAAGACAAGCGATGCCACCGTGTCGAAAAAAATGAAACGGCTTTCGGAAGCACCAATCCCTAAATTGCAACGGCAAGCTCGTGTCACTGTGGAAGGATCTATAGGTGCGCCATTGGTGGTGACGATTCGGGATGAAACCACAGGGCGCGAAGGGGTTGGGACTAGTGAGGGTGTCCTGCAGCCGGCTGAGAAGAAGAGTTTGGACGAGCAATCTATCTCAAAGGCCATTGGGACACTTGGCAACACCGACTGGGAACTATTAGCTATCAATGGTATCAATTCGTCAAGAGTGGAAGCTGGAGCGTGGTGTCCTGCAGGTTGGATAAAGGAGTGTCGGAGGCAGGCTGTTGAGGAGCTCCAGGCTCAAATTCTCGTCGACGGAAGAAAGAGTCAACGTGATCATGATGTGGACTCGAATTCTCTTTCTATGGACGAACCAGTTCGCAGTATCACGGATGAACTCCTGAGCAAGTTTGGGAGCAGTGGAGAAAAGGATGAACCAACAAAGAGAATCCCCATCCCTACCGCCTTGAGGCTATCTGTTCTGGCCCGAAACTACGATCACGTGGAAACAGTGTGCAAAATGATTGAGGACGGGCAAGTCGACAGCATCGATGAGATCATTGTTGATTTTTTGGAGGTGGATGGCATGAGAGATGCCGTCAACAGGATCCGTCAAGTTCCAGCCACCAAGGCTGTCGTGGCAAGTCCTCGCATCATCAAACCAGGAGAATCGGGAATTTGGCGAACGCTGCTACGATTGCAAGCCCATGGCCTGCTTGTTCGTTCTGCAGGGCTTTTGAACAGAATGACAAAGCTCGGAGGCCAAGGTGCCCGAGTTGAAGTGGATGTTCCCGTCAGTGGAGAACGAAACTCAGTCAACAATAGGCAGGCGGTGGTGATCCCAGAGTTGATTGCTGATTTCTCGTTGAATGTTGCAAATCCTTTGTCCGCCTGGGAGCTGCTCTCCAAAGGCTGTAGCAGAGTGACGGCGTCTTATGATCTCAACGCGGACGGGATCACAAATCTGTTGGAGTCAATGGGGAACATCAACGAAGGTTCTTCGAGGATTGACATTATTGCCCACGCTCACTTGCCAGTCTTCCACACAGAGCACTGTGTGTTTGCTAGGTTTCTCACCAAGGGAGATTCCTATCTAGATTGCGGGCACGCTTGTACAAGACACAATGTGCATCTCCGTGATCAAACGGGAGCGGACCACCTGGTTTTGGCTGATATGGGATGCCGCAACACGGTCTTCGGGTCGGAAGCACAGAGTGGCGTCCATTCTTTGAAGGACTGGTCGGCCGCTGGAGCTTCCCGTTTTCGAATTGAGTTGGTTGATGAGACAGGCGACGATGTAAGGCTCATTGTGGGTGGGTATGCATCTGTTATGAACGGGAAGCAACGAGCTAGCGAGTTGTGGGAGTCTCTCAAGCTCGTTCGCGACAGTAATGGTCGCACAGGCGGTGTTTCTCATGGCTCTCTAACGAACAGTCCAGTGAGGCGTGCTGGTGAAATCCGATAGTTTCAGTACCTTCGTAGTAGTACTGGATGCAGTTCCTCGTCCTGTCCTACCCTACCAGTACCCAAGGTTCGAATTGGGTCATGCACCTTTGAGACACGTTCCTGCCGCCTCGAAAATCATGCCAATGCCGGCCTTGCCATGGTTACTCGGCATTTTGTCTATTTAAGGCTATTGTTGCCTAAATGTTCTATGCTCCTTTGTAAAAGTGGCTTATGTCCCACACTATCTACGGATGTCTCACAATGTCTCACAATGTCTACCATTGTCTCACAATGTCTCCCAATGTCTACTAATGTCTACCAATGTCTCACTTTGTCTACACAGTACAGTAAAACAGTACAAAAATGTCTCACTTTGTCTACCAATGTCTCATAATGTCTCACAATGTCTCACTTTGTCTACCAATGTCTACCAATGTATCACTTTGTCTACTAATGTCTCCTAATGTCGCACAATGTCTACTTTGTCTACTTATGTCTACTAACTGTGTGTAGACATTTACACTTAATCGCCAAAAGCCAAAACACTTTCCCAAACAGACAAAATGCCGAGTAACCCATGCGGTAAACCTACTCCCTTCACCGTTAGCATTCATTCTTTGGTGGCGCGCGGTGTTTAGAAGGAGCTCAATTTCATGGCGGCCGGTTTCTGAAAGGCCCTTTGGCCAGTCATCAGCATGGAAGTTCTATCTGGTGGTTAAGCGAATAAAATGTTGCACATCTGGCCGTCAAGCGATCAAAACGAGATATGATATCCTCCAAGAATTATGCTTCTAGGTCGTGTTCATGTCTTGAAGTTGGGGTCTGCGAGGGGTCGAGTCCCGTTTGCTTCAGATGAGCTCAGAAGGATGCTTCCAGCTCCCAAGTGCACCTATGACGAGTGTCCGCAAACGAGCCACAACCACAAGCCACGGGCGGTGGGTTCAAACTCCTTTGTAGGTACCTTATGCACAGATATGTCAAGACTTCAAACTCCGATGTCATCCTTTGTGCGGACAAATTACCTTTCGCGTGAACCAACAGCATTCAAGAGGCCCATCCACCATCCATCGGTCATTGCCCAGGTCAATCCTCCCTGAATCCACCACGACAACAACGCACCTTCGCAGTATCAGCACAAGCCCAACAGATATCATGAATAGCCAGCCGTCGATCCTCGGTCATCCATATTTGCCTTTTGGATATCCCTCTTGGCTTGGGTTGGAAATGCAAACGTCTCCATTTCGATCATATTTCTCATACAGCAGAGTTTGTAAGCGTCGAGCTTGCAAAACCGAGGAGAGAGCCCCCTGAAAAGGAAGAAAGAAAAAGAAACCAAATACTCGAGAGAGTTCGACGACCTGAGAAGACGCACGACGAAGAAAGAAGGATGAAGTTGCTGATTCGCACTTTTGCGATCTTGTTCTTGACGAGCACACCCAATGTGGCCTCTGAGAACCAGGCTGCTCGTTTGAAGATCGATGATAGCAAAGGAAAAATGGTACGTCGATCTTGTTGGTTGTTGGCTTGATCTTTGACTTGCCCATTGGGTTGATGCCACGCGTTGCGTTGCTCGTCAGTTGGCCCATTCAGCCTTTGAGTTTCTGGCAGTACTGTACAGTATCGATAGCTTTGTTACTGACCGCAGTTTTGCATGGACGCTGCCTGATCAAAAGGCCGAGCCATTGACCACCGCAGGTTCTTTGTCGATCTTGGATCGTCTCGAAGACGAACATCGCGACGAATCAAACTCGAACCAATCCGTTGTTCGTAGCGATGACCCCAAGGCGATGGTTGACAAAGCGTACCAGCACTCTGGCAGTATCACTTCCAAAGTGAGTCATCACGACCCTGACGCCGCCAGTGTTGCTGCGACCGGCATTGTCTCGGGCTATCCTCCAATGGAAACTACTGGCAACGAAGAAGCTGCATTTGACGAAAACAACGAGAAGGAAGACGAAGGAGAACAGGAAAAAGAGGTAGCTTCGCACAAAAAAGCCCAGTACAGCGACGACACCGCCAGCCTCGTCAATACCAACATCGACAAAGAAGGTGCCTCCGGTCTCGTTGCTCATGCTAATTCAATCGAGTCCTTTCAGTTGAGGGCAGTCGCCTCTCTGGATACACTCAAGATCCAGGTTGCTGACGCCCGAATCAACGGGGACAAGTCGGACTTGGCAAGAGCCACTGCAAATGCCATCCGCAGCAGTGCCGGCTTGATGGAAGAAGCCAAAGTGAAATCACTGGCCATGTTTGCCCACCTACAAGAACATGAAGATACGGAGGAGTCCAATGGCTGGTCAACTCAGCTGCAGACAAACTATCAGTCCGCGATGGCTCAAATCAACAGGGCGCTGGAACTGTTTCCTAAGGTGAGGCAAACTGGCATGTGCATGCGCAACTGCGATGGGTTACTCCTTCGATTTTGCAACATGATTGAGTTGATACGCTGTGTACTGTATACTCATTTTGCTTCGATTCTCCTTACGTATACAGATGATCAGCTACTTGGAGGGTTCCTCGAGAGAGTCCAACGAGAAGGAACAGACGAAGCAGGACTCATTCCCAGCCGGTGCACCGATCGAAGAAAATCAGGGCGAGTCAATGGTGGATAAGACGAGCACTTATCGGCGAGGTCTCCAAGATGCTTCTCAGGCGCAAACGCCCCAAGAGATCAATTTGGATGTCCCACCTTCCGCCTCGGATATGAACAAGGCCACATCTTCTGAGTCCCGCCAAAAGGAAAAGGAAGCCGCAAGGCACCGCCGGATTCTTCGCAGTCGGTTTGAGGGGAATCATCGTGCTCAAAGCCACTTTGACCATTTCACTAAGTTGCACGACACTTTCCAGCACGGAGACCATGACGGTATGCACCGTCATTTGGGCCCAATCCAGTCTCGCGTAACGCGGAATCGCTCCCTGAACCAGAATCAACGCCATCTTTGGAGTGACGACCAGAACGCCAAAGCAAGACAGTGCGAGATTTTGATGAATTGCGTTGGTAAAATGTCCATTTGTAAGTGACTTTGGTCTAAGATGTCAGGACATGGCTTTGCTTTAACTTACTTGAGTGCTTGATTCCAGACGACATGATTCTTTTCTTCTACTCTGATGATGTAAGTACTAACGGTTGCTGGATGCCACATGTTTGTTACTCGACTCAGCCTCACAGCTCACACTGTTGTGTCCCCATCATTCATCATTCATCTATATAAAGATTGACCCTAACAATGGAAAGATAGATGACAACATTTACATTCATACAGAAGGTATGCGTGCCTCTGTCGAAATTCAATTGCCTTGCTGACTGCATTCCCCAATTGCGGCCTTTTCCCCTGCAGCTCCAGATGTGTATGAAGTCTATAACAATGACGACGTGGCAGACGCACGCACAGACCTTCAGCAAGGAAGATTTTACGGCTATCAATATTTCCGTGGTTCTGGTAAACCCCAATGGTGCGACAGGACGCTGAGGCTGTTCTCTCGAAATGTGGAGTATGGAGGTGAGTACCCTCAACGATCTCAGTTTTTGGCGAGTCGGTTAACGCATCATGTCTTCTAAATGCACATGCTGTTGTGGAAAGATATTCCGCACTGGGAAGGTGGCACGGTTGCGTAAGTCGGTTTCCTGGACTCCTATTATGGTGGTACTATGCTGTCATGATAGTATCGCTCAATTTGCTACGCTTGCTTCTCTCAATCCATCTTCCAGGGATGTATGTCATGCTCAAGGCGGGTACGTTATATATTCTTAAGGCACCATGCAGCCAACAACTTGTTGATCAGCTTGTGCCAATCTAAACCAAATCTTCTTGTCATTTGCTTGTTCCAGACACACATATGTCCAGTTGGATCAGGTTGCAACAAAAGTTGGCTTCAAAGCTGCAGACGAGATTGCCAAGGAAATGTTCGACTGCTCCAAGAGGCTATACAACTGCGAGGCCAACCCAAGGAATTCACCATTCCCTTTTGCTAGGGAGCAAAAGCTCGCAATTGATACAGGAGCATCACTTGTGGTGGAAGAAGATGCTGATGAAACCACCACCCAGGACAGCAAGTCCAAACTGTTTGACGGAAGTACGTCTGGTAATTCACATTTGTGGCAGTCCAGGGACGGAAGCAAGGGATATACAATGAGACTCAATTTTCGGTCCGATCGGGGACTTTGTGTGGATTGGAAGCTTTCTAGTAGCGAGAACTTCCTTCATGCACACAGTTGTCATGATGACCCCAACCAGAAGTGGTACTATGAACCAGGAACTCATCTGATCAGGTCAATGCATGATGAAAGCAAATGCATGGAGGCAAAATCAGGCAGCGGTAACCGAGTGTTCATGGCCGATTGCAACAGTGGTGCAGTGGCATTAGTTTACAGAAATGGAAGAGGCGCATCGACGACGATGGTGTTCTCACTCACGGGATGTGGAATGAGGGGAAGGACAAGTGCTTGCAAAAACAAGACGATTTTGACATAATTGTAAACGGTTGCGACGAGCGCCACACGCAGGATTTGTTGCAGGTGACCAACAGCGACTTTTTTGGAAGAGTGAAACCCCCCACGGTGTTGTTCAAGATACAACTGGATTCACATGGAGGTAGCAGTGGACATGAATCAAATACTGTGCTCAAAGCAATTGAATTGAAGTGGAGGAACGGCGAAGAATGCCCCCAGAACAAGATTTCTTTGCTGTCTGGATTTTCTGGAGATACAGCATCAACAGCAATACTTTTTGATAGGGGTGAAACAATTGTTTCGGATGATGGCACGGTGTTGACTCAAACCCTACTGCCAAGCTCTTCTACAGCTTCTAGGTTCCGAATCAAATGCTCCAACCCAGACATCCCTATTTCTTTGTATGAGATCCTTGTCTTTGGCATCGTGGAAGGAGGAAATGGAGATGCCCTGCCTGAGTTCCAAGGTATGACTTTGATTGGTATTGCATTCCTTTGTATGATTGCAGCTTTTGAATGCTCACCCACCAAGCTGATACTGCAGGTGAATATGAGGATTCGTTCTTTGTGCCCACCGGCATTGAGACAGAAAACAGTCGTGATGACTATGGTCAGGTAAAAGGTATGCATGATAACGGTGGAGGGTGTACTGATGTGTTGCAAGCTCTCTTCTAAAAAGTCATTTCTCTGCCTCGGAAGATGATACTGTGACACTCTACAAGTACGAGGAGGGTCGTGTGGTTGATGGGCTTGAGGAAATCCAACATGACATGGTATGATTCTTGTTTGATTACATGTGCTGGGTTCAAGGTTATAGTTGTTGCATTCTAACATCCCAAACTTCTTGCCAAGTGGGGACCTACAAGAAGGTCTGGGACAACTGGCTTCGGCACGAGGATGACAATCTGAGGAGGAAGTTAAGGCAAACTTATTTGAGCCCTTATCCAAATCCGTGGGATGACAATATGCGCTATGACAATTCAGATTTCTATATGGGGCTTGTTCGAGAGGCCGAGTCCAATGATAACATACACTACCAGATAGTCATAGCCTTTGCACGACACCACGGCAGGTCCTTTGATGGGGATGCTTTTGAGGATCGCGATGGTGAGTGTCCATGCGTGGAGTGGTGCCATTTTATTGCTCCTGAGGTTCTTGTTGTTTGCTGCGACTAATGAACAGTTTCTTTTTCTTCTGAACAGAGGAGTATAATGAGTTCCATGACAAAATTAGCCACGAGTATGCTTCTATTCAGGTAAAACACTCGAATCGGTTGTCATCATTCCTGCTCCTGAATCCATCCCATCCAACTCATCCGTACAATGTGTGTGTGTTTTTTTTTGTGTTTTGTTTCAGAGGGGCATCAACCTCGTGTTTGGAAAGGACGCTTCTGTGGGCTATATCTGTGGCGTCGAGGGTGTTGTTACTCGTCATGATGAAGAAAATGCAGATGATGGAGATAAGGTGGGCTATAGCTGTGTGTGTGTGTGTGTGTGTGTGTGTGTGTCTGGAGATTTGGGACTGCATTTTCAACAGCTCTAACCGCTCCATTTTGCATAAAAAGTTCCCTGGTACATGCTGCTTGGATGCACCATTTCAGAACCCTGGTATGTCACGCCTATGGGTTGTTTCATGTATATAAAACCTGATTTTCATTCAGTTTCATTCAATGACTCACCAAAAAACACGTCGTCACTGCTCCATAGGTGGCGAATGGTAAGAAGTCTCAGGCTCATAGCTTTGAAAGATTCAAGCTGTCAAACACTAACTGATCAGCAATGTTTTGATTGATCTAGGGGTAGGGAGGTATGCTAAGTTTCCGGTAGTCTCATGATTGGTGTCCTTGTCTATGTGCCTAAAAATATTGTTCCTTCTCTCCGGCCAGTTTGACTGTTCAATGACCTGCAGCCAGCGGGCTCCCTTTTTCAGTGGGCTCAGTGAAGAGAGTTGTTCCGCTGTTGGTGGCAAGTTCTTGCATGCATCTTGAAAAGCTTGTGTCTATTGACGGTAGCAGCTAAGCTTCTTTGCTCTCTCCAACTCCAGGTACTTGGTGTCCAACTCCAACTGATTGCTCAGTGCTGAAAGATTGTGTTGATCAAGAGATGATTAACACTGAGAATGAGGGGAAGTCATCTTACAAAGCTTACCTACAACCAGGTGCTGTTGAGAATGCAACTGATTTTGATGATTGCGGTGATTCTCGGGAATATTTTGGCTACGATCCGACCTACAAGGTGCGATTTGTTGTTGTTTTCTAGCACTCAACTGCATGGTCAACATGCTTTGTCTCACCTGTGTTTCCATTGAGCCTACAGAATGACAATGACGTCTGCGAGAACATTAAGCAGGCAAGTGTTCTGACTTTGCTTGCTCTTGAACAGCCAACCTGTCATTCTGACTTTTGCATTTCCTGTACAGCTTCACAATACCAAAAATTTTGGGTTTCTGGATGAATTCTATTCTCAAGGAACACCAGCTGTGGATCCTGGCAGCATGGGTGGTGGTGGTGGCTATGGCAACAACTTTCAACCAAATGCCAACGACTACACCCACAGCAACATTGATACTGCGGCGTGGGATGAGCTGTTCAATGTTGACACAAGTAAGTCTCATCCTCCAAGTCTCTCATGCACTGGGTGATCCCCTAGGGTGATACTTGTTGCTCATAATTGTTGACTTTGACGCCAGAATTGTCGCAAACAGACTTGGTACAAGATGCTGGAATCTCAGGTGGTCTTTTGTTTGGCTTTGGGTTAGTCAGGACTGGTGTTCAAAGTACTGTTGATATCGCTACCGAATTTGATTGCCCCGGTACCGATATAGAAGTAAGGTCAACTTTAATTGAACGTCCTTTGTGGCTGACTTGTTGAAGCTCATCACAGCTTTTCTGACTCTTCTGCAGGCGACTATATGTAAGGTGGCCAAGGTGAGATACAACTGCACGCACTGCACTACTCCCACGGCAGAATCTTGAACTTGCCATGACATCTCCTGTTCACCTTCAGAATTTCGCCGTTAGTACCTTGTTCATTGTTTTGATCATCATGAACTATGCCTATGACATTTGGGAGTTTTCTATTGCGGAAAAAACCGAAATTGGCAATGTTGGCCCCATTGAGGCCTGGGAAATCCTGCAAGTTCAACACCAGAACAACAAGAGAATGTAAGTCAAGGGGTGAATTTGAATATTGGGCTGTGCTGCGATTTTCCTGATTTCTTTTTTGATGATTTTCTTGCGGACTCTAGGTATGAGGGCATGCGCTCAACCTTCGAAGCTGCGGCCAAGGTTGACAACAATCTGGAAGGTCTTGGTGATCTTGTTGCTTCATTGGTAGCATTCCTTGGCAATGATGATGGCGACAGCTATGGCAAAGTCAACACGATCATTTCAAAGCTTGAAAGCCTCGAGGAGACATGCGAGGGCAGGCGTGCTTTGATGGATGTAAGCCCTTCTACTGCCCAAAATGCTGGTTGTGACGGCAGCGACCAAGATGGAGATGGAGTCATTGACAATTGTGAAGAAGACAAATGTAAGGTCTCTCTTGAACCAATGTGTTGGATGATGTCATGTTGGCACTAAGCTGTCTTTGTCAACCCCCAACCCCCAATCCCACCTTCAGTGGTTATCCGCTCTTTTCTGAAGTTAACAGATGATGGAGAGACACAGCATGTCGAAGGAGAGGTCTTCAGTTCTGCTGAGAAGGCAGTCGCCTCTGTGCGTGGAGCTTTGTCAGTTGTGGATGACTGTGCTGGGGTGAAGGATTTGGTGCTGAATTTGACTGTCAAGGGAATCAGTGAGTGTCAAGCTGTTGTATCAGCTGCTCCTATCCACTGGTGCAATGATGTTCCTGTTGTTGGTAAGATTGAAGAGTTCTCAGTCCGTGTGGACACCAAGCCCCCTGTGATTAGCTGCGGCTTCCAGGCTTGCACCGGGCAAAAAGATGCTCTATGTGGGAGATCTGCATGAGTTCTTTGATGCTGGGCTATTCCTCCAGGTAGAAGATTCCTGTTCTGACAAGGTAGATTTGGATGTGACCATCAAGAGCAACGAATTGGACATGACTGGTCCCAGTGCCATCCTCTCTCTCTCTCCAATATAAAGAACACCACCCAAGCAGCCCCAAAGCTCTTTTTGAACCAAGCTACTTGCTCCAACACCCAGAAGGCTGGCTTCTGCCAAGAGAGTCCCAACGGCAGCCGTGTCTATGAGGTTTCAGTGAAAGCCACAGATGGAGCGGGCTGGTCTGGATCTGATACTTGCCATGTGATTGTTTCTCCCATGAAAATGGCAAGTGATGAGAGAGAGCTTCTCCATGATGACCTGAACCTGGAGGAAGGAGCCAAGATGGTGGAGGAGTCTGGTGCTCAAAACCTGCTTCAATCAGTTAGTTTTGTTCATCACTTCTAGCCTGGTTGACTGCATTGCTCTTGCTCTAGAACTGGAACTGGAACTGAAACCAGTGACCTGTAACATGCTCCCTACAGTGGAATGGTGGGTGCACTTCTTTACTTGTGAAGGAAGGCTTTTGCCTCTACTACATGCAATGAGAGAATGTATGTAGAGGTGGTGCTTTCCCCAACTAAGGATACCACACTTTTTAAATATCTTAGCGAAATAGTTTGAATGGCTTTCACCTTTCAAGGGTGGCAACGGTGCTGAGCTTATGTAAGTGTCCCTGTTTTAGAAGCTGTTTGGATGTCACCACCATCTACGACTTGGCTTGGTCTCTGCTAAGCCACCTGCTTCAAGGATGATCTCCTTTCGACATGCAGAGGTTCTTGCCCAAGCTACTACCGGAACAGTAATATCTAGAAGTGGCTGGCTTCCGTAGATAATTTCCCCACTCTCAACCCCCCTCAACTTTCTCTAGAAGTGGCTGGCTGGCTCTTCTCCTGTGTCTGGGGTTGAGATGCTTCTCTTTGTCTCGCTCTATGGGACATGTAGGCTAGCTAGTGTGGAGGGTTTTCTCGTCTGGGTTGGTGCTTCAATCCTCCATCAATTCGATCATCTGAACCAAGCCAGCTGCCAGTGGGCGCGGCATTTGTTTGTAGTGCGGTACAGTGCACACTGGTTTTCCAAGAAACCCCTGAACAACTACCTGTATCTCGGGCACACATTTCGTCCATACAGGTAGACTGTGAGATCTTCACACGATAAGTTCTTGAATCGATATCTTGTGGGCTACTCGAGAGCTACTTTCAGTGACCTACAACATCAGCTCATGTGGACTAGCCTGTGACTGTGCCTATGGTGCTAGAACTAGAAGGCACCCCAAGTTGGGCTTTGAAGCAGCATTACTAGTGTTATTGCTCTAAAGCTCACTTGGAGTGGATCAATTTGCATAGGCTTTTGATCCATAGTAGTGTTATTGCTCTAAAGCTCACTTGGAGTGGATCAATTTGCATAGGCTTTTGATCCATAGAACCTCCAATCAATTCACAATAGGTTAGAGGGTGGGTAAGTGGGCTGCTTCTTCACAAGATCGATCGATCCAAGAAAAGAACAAAAGTGAGGAATGAATCGGGGCTGCAGAGGTGCAGAGGTACATGCGCCCTTTTCGCGCGAAGCTTCACTACATCTACCTGTATCTCGGGCACACGTTTCGTCCATACAGGTAGACTGTGAGATCTTCACACGATAAGTTCTTGAATCGATATCTTGTGGGCTACTCGAGAGCTACTTTCAGTGACCTACAACATCAGCTCATGTGGACTAGCCTGTGACTGTGCCTATGGTGCTAGAACTAGAAGGCACCCCAAGTTGGGCTTTGAAGCAGCATTACTAGTGTTATTGCTCTAAAGCTCACTTGGAGTGGATCAATTTGCATAGGCTTTTGATCCATAGAACCTCCATTTGTGTAATCAGCCCATGTGAAATGTTATGGGCTGATGAAGTGGATGGTCCATGTGTGTGATGTTGTATGAGGTTGATGAACGTAGTGGGCGGTTCGTGCCATGAAAGGCCCGGCTATATTCAAGTCACCGATGTAGGATGGGTGTGGAAAGAGTGCTGTGGGTATTGGTTTGGAAATGTGAAATAAGAGACAATCTAGTAGTTAAGATTAGTCTTAATGGTGTGTTGTTAGATGTGGGTGAATGGGTGTGTGTGTCATGTTTGTGAATGGAATGTGTCACTGCATGCGTGCTGCCAAGCCATTCGTTAGGGCTCCAATTTGTTCGTGAATGTATTGTAGGAAAGTCCTGGAGGTCCATCGGCCTTGTTTCATGATGGTGATTTCGTCTGCACCATTGAGTTTCATTGCCATGGCTCCTCCAGCCCGTAGAAAGTGGCTGCTGACATTGTCGGGGGTGAATCCATATTGTGTGAGATTGAGTTGGGTGACTGCTGACTTGATGGTGTTGTTAATGTCACGGGGTCGGATTTGCTTGGGTGATCGATCTGGCATGTCAAAGTAGGTACTAATGGCTGTGTTCATATTGTTGGTATGACAAGATCGATCGATCCAAGAAAAGAACAAAAGTGAGGAATGAATCGGGGCTGCAGAGGTGCAGAGGTACATGCGCCCTTTTCGCGCGAAGCTTCACTACATGTACATAAATTCGGCCAGTGGCGAAACGTTTTTACCGTTTACCGGGTAGATATCCGTGCATACATGTACCGTTAATACAGTGGCCGCCAGACTATGATTACAGTGGTGGCCGCGGGCGGTGGGCGGCCATCGCAACGATTGATGCATTTCACAGATTGTTGTCAGCTTCATCTATCTACTTTGGTCATGCATCTAGCGAGTGACAGTCCAGTTTCCTCAAACTAAAGCGTCATGAGGGGGTGGATACCATGGAGTTTGAGTGGACCAGCAGGTACGTAGCTATGCTTGCCGTATGTCATTGTGTGCCAGCTCGTATCATAAAGTTTTGTTTGAGATTTCGATGGCCAACGAAGTTGCCAGCAGCCTGTCTTCTTCCCTGAGTGACCGAGGAAAAATGTCACTACTTTTGGTTTTGGTTCATTGCATCGCTTACTACGGTGTTGGAGCGTCTCTCGGAACTCTTTGCTCCTGCTGATGGCTTGACTTCAGCTACACGGCTGGAAGACATAAATCAAAGTGGAAAAGGAGCTCCTTCAGTGGGGAATGGCATGAGCTGGTGCTCGCCCGAGCGACTCAGCTCAACACTACAAAGAGGTAGAGAGATAGATTGTCTCCTTCCATGTCGGGTCTCACAATTTTGCTTCTGCCAATCTGGCTCACCATTTGGCGAAAGGAAGCAAGTATTAAGTAGTTATAATCTCATCATGGTGATTGCTAAGAAGCCGTTCGTGGACGACGAATCTCTCTGCGTTGTTCCTACCCGGACCCAAAGGGGAAAGCCCGTCAAAGCCATATGGACCAATGCTATAATTGCCCTTTGTGCCTTTGTTTGCGGTCTTGTGGTTAACGCTCGCTTCAATCCTTCCTTGAGGAGTGTGCACGGCGTTTCCTTGGACAGGGAACATGTTGACATGGGCCTGGCTGTGGAGGTGCTGCCATTCGATGTGCACGACGAGAACGAAAGGCATTTGAGCGAGATTCTAGGACAAACCAATGTACGCTTGATTGCTAGCTACTTGGTTTCTACTTCCTGCTTCATCCTGCTTCGGCATCTTGTCTAACGCACTTGTTTCTTCTCCTTACCATAGTGTTCCATCCCCGAGGAAGCCGAAGAAGACGACGATGACGCTGATGTGGAGGCCTCGGAAGTTGACGAGGTGAACTGGTTTGAAGATCTTGATACCATCGTGGAGGAGGACGAGCTTGACGCCGATGAAGAAAACGAAGGCTTGCTTGATCACAACGAAACTTTGGAAGAGAGCGAAACTGATCTTGAAGGGCTGGACTACAATCTCACAGTAGACGCGACGAGTCGTCGCCTGGACGGGAACACTCCAAAGATTGAATCTCTTGCCTGCAATGCCGACCTCGAGAACAAGCCGTGTACCCCCTTGTCTAATAGCTTGTCTGCTGATGGGATTATTCCTTGTGGCACCTGCTACGAAGTGGACGCGACAGGTGGGGAAGTTCTGGACTTTCCAAACGGTCTTGTCGTCAAGGGAAAGCTCTTCTTCCCAAGTTCATCCAACGTGACGATTCGCTCGAAGTTCATCTTTGTCCGAGGAATCTTGAAGATAGTCCCTCCTTCCTCGGGAAACCAAATCAAGTTCTCCCTCTACCAAGAAGAACAGGTTTCCTTTGTCAACGAAGACTCGACTGGTGTTTGTGGCAGCGGGAATGGTTGCAGCCTGGGCTCCAAGGTTATCGCCGTTGTTGGAGGTCAACTTGACATTCAGGGATACGATCCCGCTTGTCCCACATGGGAGAAACTCCGAGCCGTTGGTCAGCCATTCCCTCAAGCTTTTGTACAACCCACTGACGAAGCAGGAACTCCAATGGATTTGGAGATTGCTGGGGTTTGCCACGAATCTCCTGGTCACACGAACGCCCTGGGAAAATACACAGGTATGAAAATCGCAGTATGAGTTTTGTGCGTGTGGATATATGTACCGCTGTACCGGTATTTTAAAGCGTTGATTCGATTCTAACATTTTGAGCCAACCGTCCCTCCTAGTTTGGTGCCCCATCACCAAAACCGTTACTGTGAGGCATGGAACATCCAAGGCCCTTGTTCTTACGAGTGGAGAACCGCGTGATCCCAAGCCTTTTGTTGCCCCCAAGAACAATGGCCAAGAGATGTCCCTAAAGCTGGAGCAAGGGTGCCGTGTGAGCTGGGATCACACGAGGTGGGCCAAGAAGTGCATGATCTACTGCCCCGTGGAGAAAACTGCCACCATCCGCTACGGCGCCAAGATGCCTTTAAAGTTCACTAGTGTCAAGCCTCCACCGAGAAACTTTGCCCCCCCGAAGCAAGGCTCGCAAGAACTGGCTCTGAAGATTCGTCAACGTTGCCACGAATCCAGGGGCCACACAAATGCCTTGAAGAAGTATACAGTGCGTTGTCCGCTGGAGAGGACTGCAACAGTCCGGTACGGAACCGGAATGAGCCTCAAGATCACCAATCCGGTGACTGGAGACTCCTTCACGGCGATGGGTGGTGTGCACCACTGGGCATGGGGTGGTCGAAACATGTACTTCTTCCCTGATATCACGGACGAGGAAGTGAGCACCTTGTTCCCCCCTGGATCAACCATGCAAGTGGAATACATCTACAAGCCTGGCGGCCAAGTAATGAACGTCAGAGCAGTTCACCATTGGGCTTGGGCAGGCCGCTACACATTTTTCTATCCTGATGGATACACTACAGACGATTGTGGACAAGCCGCTCTTGACTTCAACGACGCATTCCCCGTTGGGTACGGAATCGACGTTTCATTCCGTAAAGCTGTCCCTGTACCAGCTGGACAACAGATTACAGCCACCAACGGTGTTCATCATTGGGCTTGGCACGGAGACAAGCTCTTCTTCCATCCCGATGTCTCCGTGGGCGAAGTGAATCGACTCTTTCCTCCTGGCTACGTCATGCAAGTGTCCTACTCCGATCATACACATGTGAATGAACTCAAGTTGTCGCCAGAGGCCGCTTCATGTTGGGGCCCTGGTACGGAGTTGGTCCTTACCTCTCATACACGTCGTCCCGAGGACAGGCAAACGGCTGTCGTAACTAGCGTCGATACGACCACAGGAACCGTGACACTAAACAACGCAATTGAAACGCCCATTTCGATGGAAGATCACCCAGACTTTGCTGTTGAAATTGCTTCCCTGAATCGACCAGTGGTGTTCGAGGCCGAGAGTGACACAGACAACTCACTGATTGGAGGACATCTCATTGTTTTCAAAACTGAAACGAAGCAACATATTGAGGGAGTTCACATCCGGAACTTTGGCCAGCAAGGCAAACTGGGTCGCTACCCAATCCATTTCCACATGTGTGGTACAACGTCAAACTCTGTCGTTAAGAGAAACATTGTGTAAGTCCCACCGCAGCTGGTGAGGGGCTTGGGGATGTTTGACCGCAGCTGAATCTCAGCACCTGCACCTCTGCTCTCTTTCTACTGAAACAGATACGAATCCAACCAGCGAGGTTACGTTCTCCATTGCTCGGATAATGTGTTGGTGGAAGAAAATATTGCCTTCAAAGTTCCCGGCCACTGTTACTTTCTTGAAGCAGGTACAGAAACTGGCGCCAACTTCACAAGTAAGAACGGCACAGGTTGCCCACGTGTTCTGTTCATACACCCTTCTTGCTCATGTCGCATCTCTACTCGCAGGGAACCTTGGTATTGGTGTTACCAACATGCCAGCAGGTGGCGTGGCCCAACTCTCCGCTCAAAGCGGAAGGCAGGAATCAGATGATGCAACCAGCGTGTTTTGGATCTCCAACCCAAACAACTATTTCGTTGGGAATGTTGCAGCGGGCTCTGAAAGACATGGATACTGGTTTGAGACTCGCACATGGGCCAATCGAAAAGCGAGCGTCGGCGCTTTCGTTGATAACGAAGCACATAGCTGCAGACACTTTGCTTTTACCACCTATCCGCCAGGTTGGAGACCGGATGCGATCAACTTTATAACCAACATCAAAATTTATCGCAATAGCGGATGGGGGGCATTTCTCCACGTCACCAAGAACCTCGTCTTTGAAGGTGGCATCTTTGCTGACAACGGAAACCGAGCTATCATGATGAATCGAGGAGATGACGTTGTCTTCGAGGGAACTGTTTTCATTGGGCAAAGCCCTTGGGCTGAAAAGAAGAGTTCAAACTGTCGGGAAGGTCCTATTGGGATTGCCCTGAATCCAGCTCGTCTTGGAGACTTGGACTACTCAGGGACTATCAGGGGAACATCCTTGATTGGCGCCAAGTTCTACAACTGGACGGAGGAAGCTACCGGTTGTCCGAGGTCAAGACCAGTGCAATTCCGAACTGAACAAGTTTTTACGAAGGCCTTCAATGCTCCGCATACCTTCAAAAACGTCTTCATAGACGACAACGCTCACAGCAGCAAGTTAGATGCTTGCAAGATGGAAAATGAGCTGGGTATTGAGGACTCGATCATCAGAATTGTGGATGACGTAAACAATACCTTCAGTCCAGAAGGGGTTCCTGGGTTTCTGGCTAGTGCCAAAGTTACGACCATGCTCCCGGATGGATCGTGTTCTTACTACAACGAATGTCTTCTATTCTGCCCGAACACATGCCTTCGTACTGTAAGCGTCCTAACAAATGCGGCGCAACCTTCCGGAACCAGAATGCTTATCACGGACACTTCCAGCCTGAAAACTATCGAAGTTCAAGGTTCTACCCGCAGTGGCCAAACTCAGATTTCTTGGATGCATGCCACCTTCACGGCTGCGCTTCCACAAGGATCCTTTGAGATATCCTTCGTTGACGCAAACAACCAGCTCGTCTGGCCAAGCTATGCTATCCCTGTTTTGGAAGCAGCCCCGATGTGCTCGCATATCACAATCAATGACTTGACCTTCGTCAAGCCACCTCCTTCTTGCGATGAGCTTGTTCAGAACGGAGATTTTGCCTCCGGCATCCAGTGGTGGCAGGGTCACAAGACCAATAATATTTTTGATCCCTCGAGGGGTGTGGATTCTTCCGGTGCCCTGCTGACTACAGGAGACTCCGGTTCCGGTGTATCGCAGTGGCTCAACGTGAACTGTTTGGTATCAGGAGTGACCTATGATGTCTCTGCGTTCTTTCGGCAGGTAGATGCGTACGGTGCAACTGTAGCAGGATGTACCACCTCCCAAGACTGTCCCAGACTTGCCATGGAATTCAAGACCTTTGTCCCGTCCACGGGCAGCTTCCCAACTTCATGGGCGACGATTGCCACCACCGACGTTACGTCGTACACCAACGACAACTCCTTCGACACCATATCCGGACAGTGGGTTGTGACAAATGAGCAGGCATCTGCTGACATGGCTCGTCTCGTGATTCTGGATGCTGCTGATCAACTCATTGTTGACAATGTTTCTATCAAGAAAGTGACGTAGGGACATATAAAATTGTACCGTAGGTTCCAGTTGAAAGAAATAGAGGATAGAGATGAAACCGGAGAGAAGTCAACAACTGAGAAAGCCAGATTGTACAGCCGATAGTTCGGTTACTGCTGTTAGTTACTGCTCCACCAGATCACGAGGCGCGGTGCAAAAAGCGCCTCGTGATCTGCTTCCTGTCCACCCTGATAGCTACCAGTGCGGTTCCGGTACCATAGCTAGCTACCGTTAGATAGAGAGATTGTAGGACCGGAAAAGCTATCTCTCCATTGCTCATGACGACATTACGAAACAATGATATTCCCCGTGTTGATAGCGGTTTGCAGGCCATGTGGGAGTTTGCTGAAGGCAACACCCAGTACATGTTCCAGTACAATTGCACCAACTTTATTCAATCGGCCCATGAAACTGCCGACCAGTTCCCTACATCCTCTTATGGAGCTGCCATGTACATGTACAGACAAAAGTGGGAAATGGAAAAGCCGTTGAATCGAATGGGAGGAGACCAAGGATGGCCACTCAATCATGAAAACCATTTCCAGTGATGGAAGATTGAGGTACAGGAATTCCTAACCACCTTAAGAGCTAGAGGCTTCCTCAATGGCAAGGGCAAAGGGAAACGCATCCAAAGGGTCATCACTGGATCCCAACTGTTGTGCAATAGCGTCCTGTCCTCAAGCTTGCACCAGAGCAAAAGCGCAGATCCAAAAGTTTGGTTTGACCATGGATGTTTGCAAGCCAATAAACCTAGCTTCGAGTGGCCAAACAACACAGCAACTATCTCTTTATCTTTTTGTAATCTCTGGTGTCCACTGCCATTGCGTGTCAAAATCTCCCAAGCAAGTAACAGATGTATCTCCTGACATTCCATTGTGTTGGAGGTTGGGAATGATCCTAGAATTCTACACCATAGTGTTGCTGCCTGCCGATAAATAGTGCCATGTTCTAAGGGAAAAGGGGTCCATGGCAATCGATGCCAATGAAGTTTCACAGAGCACTAAGCACATTCTTGAGAATGCATGATAATTGGTAGGGTTCTCCACCATAACGCTGCATGATTAGCAGAGGTGATAGTTGGCATAAGCTTGGATGAAGAGCGTGGCCGTCTGCACTGATGTACAGAAGTACCATAAACCCAACCAAACTATGCATATCTGCTCCCGGCAGCAGCATTGTGTCGTCGTCCAGGAGTTCCACAGAACCTTCCTTGGGGCGACAGACTAACCTTTCGTTCTAACAGCTTCATGCCCCTTGGGTTCCGAGCTGGGCTGGATTCAAGAGAATTTGAGAGGTGGCCGCCAGCGAGTTCGGAATCAACGTGCATTTCAACGTCTGTGAAACACTGATCCTTCATCTTGGACGGTGTTGCTGATAGTCTCACATCCTTCCTTCTTCTAAGACTCTTGGCTGTTAGGGCAACTATGAAGATTGACACCCCTGCAATATGCTCCAAGGTACAAACATTGTTGAATAGGAAGAATGACAGGAAAACTGTTGTCGCCTTCCTGGCTGTGGATGTTATGCTCATTGTCAGTGCCCCAAAGTTCTTGGTGATGGCTGCACTGCAGGAACTGCCAAAGAAACCCATTGTGCTGAAAAGCACTATAACTGTTATCTTCCCCTTGACACTCCATGATGCCTCTTCTGCTGTGACACCCTGTTTCATCTCATCATATGTTCCAGGCTGCATCAACCAAACAATCCCTAGTTGTAGGTCTCCCTTAACAGCAGCTGCTGTGCTGATTGCCACCAAAGCAATGGAATACATCTTGAAGATGAATTCGTCCTGGCCCACTCCATAATTCTTCATGATTGATTCACTCACATTGCTGATGGCTCCATCACATAGCAAACTGATTGTCAGCATGATCACTCCCGATGGTTCAAACACTGCACTGGAGGTTGCATCTGCATGCATGAATATAGCCAACCCAGCCACCATGCAGAAGACCACAAAATAGTCCATGAACTGATATTTCTTTCTCGAAATGAATACTCCAAATATCATGGTGAATACAACTCTGCTAGACTTCATCAAGGTTTTGGCAGGATAGTTGATGTACTGCATTGCCAGATTGGTCATGCCCAAGTCCACAGCCCTCAATAAACTGAGGCCCAGATACATGAGAAAAGGCACTGCTAGGATAGATCCACCATGTAGCAGTTTGCCACTTGTTTCTTTTTGTTTCATGTGTTTCTTTTGATGCGTTTCATATACATAGGCCTTCATTATAAAGCTAAGCACAGTGTACCCAATGAACTGCAGCATGGCCAGGAAGAGGCCCAATTGTCGATTACAGATTTGAACTGAGATCAGTTCTTGCAAGTAGCCATAGAGAAGACTGAATGCAAATACCCCACTTGCACAAACCATGAACTGAAGCTGTCTGTTGAGGTGGCTAATATCCACTCCCAGAACCAGCACTGGCTCTGAAACAAGGTCATCAAAGCACTGAAGGTCCGAAGCACGTCTTATGGGAAGAGGAGTTAACGTGTTTTGATACAGACGTTGTATGGTTGTGCCGTCCTGCTTTGGTTGTTCGCTGCTGTGATCAGATGAGGCATCAACGACCAAGAGTGATTGAGAAAGGTTGTGCGATGACGAATGTGTGGTTTCCGTGTTGTTTGATTTGAGGGTGCTAATGCTACCCTGGCCATCGGTTGCGGAATCTTCCACAGTTAGACCTCTCTCGGAGATATCCGCAGTGATTGCGCAAACCTCGTTGCCATCGTCAGATGTTTGACTTGACATTGTTATCGAGGCGTCATCACTCACTTCGTCGTACGCCTGAATCTCACGCATCATGGGAACAAAGGACTGAGGACTACTTAGCCTTCTACGGCCGGTAGTGTCTTTGACAGGGGTGCGGTATGACATGGTCGGAATTATCTAATGAATTCCAACTTGCCAGAGTCAAGTCTTGCACACGCTCTATCTGTCTCCAAGACGAAACAGCTCGATACTCATTCGCTATTGTTGGACGCATCCGAAAACCCCCGGAATATCCACGATACTCTTTCATCTATCGGTACTAGTACTGTACGTACATCATTCGGCTACTTTTCCCACGCAATTTGCCAGGTGTTGTCTCACTCGTGCAACGAGAATCTTCGCTGATAAATTTCACGCCGCTAAGTCTACACGAATCCACGAGCGTTCCAGGTCTCACTATTTCCTAAGTACCAAAGCATTCAAATTTGAAGTGTTTCCCACGCCCTGCAGCCTTTCTGAGTTGGTTTTACAGCGTGGAAATGTTGGCAGGAAGAGGTACCCAGTACAGCTGTACGGTACAATACCAGTACTAGCTACCGGTAGCTACCGTAGCTAGCAGAATAGCAACGGAATTGGAAGCAACAGATGGGGGGGCAACCGGTACCGGTAGGGGGGGCTTGAGCTTGCCATTGCAAAGAACCAGTCTTCACTAAGTTCGGCGTTGGTTTTACCGAAATGCGCATTCTATCTGATGACTTTACGCATATGCGTAATGCTTACTGTACAACTGGATTCTGTGGTGATGGTTGCCACACGTTTTCCTGCACGCGCCTGTTCTGCTCTGCTCTGCTCTGCTCTGCCCCACTACGATTCTTGGTACCAAGCATCAAACTTGGGAAGATGGACCATTTCATTGACTTCATTGAATGCAGTCTCAGCCGCAACGCGCCCAACATCTTCATCCTTGTCTGTGGTGTTGCCTGAGGGAAGCTTCGGATTTGCTCTTCCCTGGTGCCTCCAATGTTGTCGTTTTATCCTTATCAGCATCACTGCGTATTGAACAAGCGTCCAGGATCTGCACGGGAAACAAGGGGTGGACGGCCTTCGACTTCATGGCCGTCGTCGCGGCGCTCTTCTGACGCCGCCCAAACATGATGCCGTATAAAGGAATCCGCTAATAATCTAGTAGAGGAAAATGCAACGATCAAAGCACTGCTTATGGTCAATACAAAGGAGTGTTTTAGTTGTAGGCGTCCTCAGTAGCTTGGCCTGGGTAGTAGATCCTCAGTGTCCAGGGACAAAATCCTCGTTGAAGGGAGCCCTATTGTAGATATCAGAGCTGGAAGACCTCGAGGTAATGAGCTGAGTCTTCTCTTCGACGTGGGCGTGCTGGTCACCCAGCTAGCCCGGGATAGTTGGAGTCAGACAGAAGATGACTCAGATGCTACGTTTCAATGTGCAGAAATCGCGAAAAAGGGACGGCTGTAGCCTGAGTTGTGGTCTTTGCTTCGAAGGCAGGAGTTTGTTTGCTGCTTTTCTTTCATTTGTCGAATTGCCCACTGCAGCCGACTAGACTGGACGCAGCAGCTAGCTAGCCAGTGAGTTGCCTATGGTTTTGAAAAGCCGAGCCCTTTCATACAAACGCAGCACTTCCCGACACATGATGTCCTTGAACTAATCTATAATGTGGAAGTTCGATGGATGCGTTTACTGTCCAATGCTATTGATCTAGCCACAGTAAGAGTATATTGTCCGTTTCCGCTACATGTACAGCAGCACTCTGCGACGGCGATTGGAACGTGATAATGAATCAAGTAGATACAAACGTTCGCTGGACGACTGGCAAGAACCCCATGGGATGCAGGAAGGAAGAACAATCCAGCCACACGCGAAATGTTATCACAGTCAGTACGTAGGATTTGCTTGAACACCAACCATGCCAGGTGAATTCAGCCAAACAAAACTATGAATATCATGCTCGTCGCCCGGAGATGCGATACGAGCGTGCTTGTTGCCCTTTCGATCGTATTCTTTGTTGCTTTCGTCTACTCGATGCGTTTCCTTTGGAACCGCCAAATGTGAGTGCGTCTTCCTCCCCCATCTGCCCCTCCAAGTCCTTGAGCGGTTTCGGCGGAGGGGACAGAGGTACTTTTGTTTTCGGTGCCTTTTTCTTACCCATAAAGCTCTTTGTCGTCAAGGCTGTAATGAATACGACAACACCAAAAATGTGCTCATATGTGCACTCATTGTCAAACAGGAAGAAGGAGATGAATAATGTAGCTGCCCGTCTCACAGTAGATGTCATGGACATGGTCAGTGCTCCAAAATTCTTGGTAATAGCGGCACTGCAGGAGCTTCCAAAAAAGCCCATGCTGCTAAAGAGTACAATCATTGTGACTTTGCCCACGACATCCCAGGTGATTTCCTCTTCTGCTACGCCAGCAGTCCATTCGTCGTAGGTTCCGGGTCGGGAGAGCCACAGCATGCCGATGCGCAAGTCACCAAAAAACATGGCGGTCGCCGTCACTGCGATGAGCGCCAGCGAGTACATGCGAAAGATTAATTCATCTTGTCCGACACCGTAGTTCTTCATGATAGTCTCACTCATAATGTTGGTTGCTCCATCACACAACAGACTGATGGTCAGCATGATAACTCCAAGCGGTTCGAAAATGGCATTGGAAGTAGCATCTGCCTGCATAAAGATGGCAAGACCTGCCACCATGCAGAGTACGACCAGATAATCCACCAGTCTATATCGCTTTCCAGCCATCAATACACCAAAGATCATGGTAAAAACCACACGGCTGCTTTTCATCAATGTCTTGGCAGGGTAGTTAATGTAGTGCATGGCCATGTTGGTCATGGCCATATCAATGGCACTGAGCACTCCCAAGCCGATATACATGTGAACGGGTACTTTTGGATGGGAATGCTTGACCCGCGCTGCTTTGGCTTCCCTATGATTCACCAGAGTCCTCATTCCATAACTCAAGGCCGTATAGCCCGCAAATTGAATCATGGCAAGAAAAAGTCCCAGATTTCGATTGCAAATTTCCACCGAAACAAATTCCTGCAGGTATCCAAAGGATAAATTGAATCCAAACACACCGGCGGCGCAGACGCAAAACTGGTAGGGACCACTGAGGTGACTAATGTCCATTCCCAAGACCACCACGGGTTCCCCGCCCAGCTGAGAGATGTTGCTAATGTTCCTGCGGAATTGTGATCGATGTGTTGATGCGAATTGTTGTTGTTGTTGTTGTCTCCTCTGTTTCACACCTGGTGGTATTTGTTGTTGTGGAGCTCTTGCAACACCCTTTTTGGGAGTAGTTTCCTTCCGCTCCTCTCGACAACCACAAGAACACGCCTTGGTCAAGCTGTTGCGAGGTTGTAGCGGGTCCGAATTTTCAGTGGTATACCCATTGTTGGCAAAGGAAGACAGCACCGACGAGTCATCTTCATCTTGTTCGTCTGGGGGGTATCTGGCATCACTTTCACAGTCGTCGTCGTCGTCGCCGTCGTGGTAGTATATTGCCTCTTCATCATCATCGTCGTCACTGCCACTCGACATGTCACTCTGAGTGTGAGGGTTCGTGTCATTCACAAAGGAAACAAAGGAGTCGTTGACAATCACTACTTCTCTATCCTCAATAATAGGTGTTCCCATTGCGGCTTCCGCACCAATACATGTAGATATTTGGCTGCCAGATTGTTCTGGTGAGGATGCCTCTGTGTCGCTCATGATCGAGGAATCCTTGTGCAGGCTCATCACAATGGCGCCAATTACTTTGTCTTGCTACCAGTATGAGAGAGGTGCCGTGTCCGTAAGTTCTTGCTCAATTGTTACGTTTGTGGTGGCTGACTGACTAGCTAGGTACCAGTGTGGGAGTGATTACCTGGTGCACCATGGTCGATAATAAAATTTGAACTGGTACGGTAACACGTGTGTCTCAAAATTGCCCGCCGGCTGGGTATGGTACTGCACCCTACGATACATTGTACGGTACGGTAGGAGATAAGTGGATGGATGCAAAAGCCTACGGGCACATTGGGTTGCGGGTCCGCGCCTAACAAAAGCACGGCGAGGGGGGTTGAGTACACTATTTCGACAGTCTGGCATGCCTCTCCGAGAAATTCAACTTACTTCTCCGCGCCAAGTTTTTTGAACTCCCAACAACTGATTCTTCGATAGAGATGCATCATACAGCAGCGCCTTCTGAAGATGAGGTTCCAGCTTCGGCATCTTTGGTCTCAGCTTCTCTTCAGCCACCTTCAAGAATGCTTGCATATCCAATGCCGCAAGTACTCGGATGAATACTGTCCTCGCATCAAACAAAGTGAGTTCTGCTGTGGCTGCATTTCAGCAGCCAGTGATGCCTCTAATGCCGACGGTAAGAATGACTTGACATTGTCATACAACCTCTTCTTATTTGCTGATGGAACCAGACCAACGTTCAGCAACATCTTTGCCTCACTCCGACCTGATTTATTGAATTCCAGGATCTCAGGGACTTCATTTGACAATCTCATGAGAGCAAGACAGACACAACGAAGGGCAGGGACATTCATTGGAATCCCATGCCGAGTGAGTTCTGGATACCCTTTTGTATCCACTGTTGCTATGTCTCTACGTTTGTATTCTGTTGGTGCTTTGAAAGAAGCATAGTGCTTTTCTAGTTTCTCTTTTTGTTTTCTTACAGAAGTATTGTTCCATCTATCTTTCAAAAGAGCTGCACCTTCCTCATTGTTTTCGAGAGAATGAATCATTGCCGGTTCCACAATGCCATCAAAAAGCTGGAGGAACGGATCAACTATTGTTGGTGGGGTAACTGGTCGCTGTGGTTGAGTTGGTTGTGCCGCCGCTGCTTCGTCTTGGTTATGGCCTGGTTGAGTTGGTTGTGTTCAGCTGCCTGTTGCGGCAATCCATTGCCAGTGGTATCAATGTAAGCTCCTTTGACCAGCCACTGTTTTTGTTATACGCGTTCTGAAACAATTCCTTCTTTTCAGATTTGCTTGGTGGGATCTCCTCATCCTTCTTGTCGGCTGTTGAAACTCGGAGGAAGAATCTTTTCTTTATCCCTTCTTTGTGTCAGCTAGTGACACTCTCCGGGACTTTGTTGAGTATAGGTGCTTGTCACTTTAGTGATTTTGTCTGGGATGAATCCTCTCAATGCTTCGGTGATCGGTTCATCCATCCAGGTGGTCTTGTTGAGCGCACTCTTCAGCTCGCTTGGATCATTCAGTTGTGGGAGTTTCAGCTCCCTGGCAACAAGGTAGGCCCAGTATACCGCGGGAACCCAAAGCCCATGCAAATTCCTCCTCGTTTCGGCCAATTCCAAGAACTTGGAGACCATGGCGGCATGTTGGACACCTGACATGGCGAGTAATGCTGCTGTCCTCTTGTCAATGCACGCCACGAATATCCAACCGGAGCTGTGGCGACGCGGAGGGTTGTCTGTTAGTGTGTTTGGGAGATACTGTCGCCGTCGCCACGGCTCTGGTTTGGTTTTGATGGACCTGTGTTACCTCTCCGGTGTCGAGAGCAGTGCTTTGCCCTCTTGTTGAGGCTGTGCCGCTGCATGGCATCGAGTAGTTCGGCATCTTCACATATAAACTCTGGGCCCATTTCCT